GCAAGTCATCAACAAGTGATGCAGGATTCTCAAACCCATCTCGAAGCCTTCGAATCCACGACTCAATCTTTTGAGCCTCGCAAACCTCCTCAAGAGAAGGCAGATCTTGCTCTGCACCCTGTGGATACTGAACGTCAAGGATAGCAACCGCCGACGGCACAGAATCCCCATCTAGAAAATCCACAGATGCTGGAACAACAGGTTCATCAGAATGATGAGAAGTGAGTGGAGAAGGAAGAGGAGCTCGAGAAAGGGCATCAGGATCAGCCATAGAACTCCCTGGGCGATGAACAACATCGAAATCATATATCTGAAGCTTCAAAGCCCATCGAGCCGTATGACCAACCAAGTTCTTCCGCTTCAATAATGAAGTAACAACAGCATGGTCACCTTCAAGTAATGTCCGAGAACCATGTAGATATGCATGAAGTTTCTCGAAACCCCAGACTGCTGCTAAACACTCCTTCTCCGTCGTGGAGTAGTTCATCTCCGCTGGTTGTAATGTACGGCTTATGTATGCAATGGGATGGCGCTGACCAGGCACACTCGAGCTCTCTTGCATCAACACACCTCCAAGACCAATGTCAGAAGCATCCACGCGCAAAATAAAAGGTCGAGTGTAGTCAGGATATGCCAAATTGGAGGAGTTGTCAATAGCTCTTTGAGATCCACGAACGCCCGCTCACAATCCGAAGACCAGATGAAAGATGACGTTGATGACTTCAGCAACGCTCGCAATGGTGTAGTGCGATCGGAAAGATGATCCACAAAACGACCAAGATACTGCACCTTACCCAAAAAGCGCTGCACATCATTCACACACTTCGGAGTAGGGAACTTTAGAATAGCCACAAGTTTGTCAGGGTCAACTTGCAAACCCTCACGAGAAATACGGTACCCAAGATAAGTTGTGTCCTTGGACCCAAACACGCACTTTGACCGCTTCAACTTTAAACCAACGTCGCGTAGCCGATCCAACACTTTACAAACATCACGAACGTGCTCCCCCCACGTCCCCTCCGAGTGGATCAAGACATCATCAATGAAGTCAGCAGTCACCTCCGGCATATCGCAAAGAACCTCGTCCATCATCCGCTGGAAAGTTGCTAGAGCATTGTTCAAACCAAACGGCATCACCAAGAACTCGTACAAACCAAATGGTGTACGAAAAGCAGTCTTAGAAATATCTTCTTCGGCCATCGGTACTTGCCAATACCCAGAAGCAAGATCTAGCTTGGTGAACCAACGACTTCGCCCCAGACGATCCAAGAGATCAGCAGTGTGAGGAAGAGGATACACATCTGGGATTGTCACTTCATTTAACGGACGATAGTCAATGCAGAAACGAATACTCCCATCAGGCTTCGTCACAAGATGAGGTTCACATGCCCAAGGACTCCGCGACTTCCGAATAACACCCTTTTCCAGCATTTCCTTGACGTTTGCTCGTAAAATTTTGATCTCCTTAGGTGACCGACGACGAACAGGAACCTTGATTGGACGAGCATCCCCGGTGGGAATTGGATGACGTGTGGCAATCTTGGCCCCAGACGATAGATCAAATTCAAAGAGATCAAAATACTCCTTCATGAGCTGGTCAACTGCTGCAACACAAAGATCGTCGGAGGGATCGGAAAAGGGAAAAGCAGAACAAGATGGAAACACAGAAGGAAAGAGTGGGGAAACAAAAGTAATGGAAGCAGAGGTAGAAGTAGAGGGACGAAGAAGTATGGACGTGAGAGGAATAGATGAAACATAAGGAAGTATGAGACAAGGGGGAGAAGCCTCAAAGTCACACTTGGCATGATTGCGCTGCAACCAATCCATACCAAGAATGAGGTCAAAAGTTTGACTCGGCACCACCCGCAACGACTGCAATTCAAGCTCGAGATCGCCCACACGCACAACCAGGTCCACCTCATCCCGTGCACATGCATGTGAACGGCCGTTGCCATAAAGAATGAAAACTGGTTCTGCCGCATGACGCAAGTGTAGACGACAACGTGTGGCAACAGGTCGAGCAATAGAAGATAAACTCGAACCTGTATCAACCAACACGGAGAGAACAATAGGAGACTTCTTGTTATAAAAATGAGCTTGGAAAGTAAACACTGGATGAACTGGTGCCGAGTGAACCCCTTGATGATACTCCCAAAAGAAAGATGGAGGGGTCATTGATTTATTCGCGCAAAGTCCCTCCGTTACTCGCGCGACTCCTCGTTTCCCGAATGCATCTCGGTGTCTAAACCTTCCACTGCAGCAGCACCCAGGGGACGTTGCTGACGCCAAGGTCTCCACCCAGGAAATGGAGGTCGCCAATCCGGAAAACGATAGCAACGCCGATAAGTATGACCAACTTCATCACACGCCCAGCAGCGAATATCACGGCCACGACCACGTCCTCGCGCTTGTCCTTGGACTCGAGCAGCAGCAGCATCAACCTCCATTGGAACAGGACCATCACCCATAGGAAGTGGAGCAGAAGGACATGTAGCGAGAAGTGGAAGAGGCGATGTCTCATAACGTTGTGCCAAGCGAAGAGCATCGTCAAGGGTGGCAGGAGCAAGTGCATGCACAAGTCCGACAAGATCTTGACGAAGTGCTGGCCACAACATTCCTAGCTTGATCCGCTCCGACATATCTAGCTCCGCACAAAGCAAAAGACTTCAGAAACGAACGCCAAATTGCATCACCAACTCCGATGGCCCTTGGTGAAGATGATGCAATTGTTGGAAAGCATCATCGCAATCATCGGCATATCCGAAGGCGCGTTTGAAGACGTCTGGGAGAACACTCCAATCCCCACGAGTAGCTGCGCTCAAACCATTGTACCACTGCAACGCCGTCCCTTGGAGACACGTGGGAAACTCACGCAACCGTCGAGCATCATCCCAAGAATGATATGTGGCAATCACCGTAAAGTGATCGAACCAATAGTACACATCATCCCCAGGATTCCCGCGAAAGAACTCCGGCCGAACGCGAGGATTGGCACCAAGAGCAGGAGGAGTTGTACCACGTGCCGTGAACGCCGCCATCAACTGAGTTTGGTTGTTCAATTGCAAGCGCATAGCATCAAGCAATTGAACCAACTGCTGCTCTAGAGTCAAAGGAGGAGATTGCGGATCGGCCATGAAGATGAACAAAAAAAAAAGAGCAAAAGAAGAGAAATAACAAAAAAGCTGGAAAGAAATGGTAGATCTAGACAATGCAAAAAGCTAGATCGAAACCAAAATCCTGAAAGGAAAGAACAAAAGAAAGGAAATGGAAAAAACTAGATCTAGACGATGCAAAAACTAGACCGAAATCCCAAATCCAAGCACTCCCCAGGGACAATCAAAGGTGCCCCTCACCTCCACTAATGTGAGTGCATGGAATATGGAAAGGGAATACAGAAATGTGCATATCAATTAGCCCAAAAACCCTAGCTTATATACAAGAGTGAGTGGTCCGGATTGAAACCAATCCGACGGCTACCAAAATCCACTACGCTAATATTAGTATACGGCATCGTAGCCGTACACTTGGCCCTCACAGCTCTAAAATAGTTTCATATTCCACATCTTGTAACAAAGGCAACCTATAAAAAAGTTTAGATAGAAAAACATTAATAAACTCCATAAGTATTTCCCATATTATTATTTCTCCCTCATGTGTTTTCATTTTTTAAGTCATGGAAAAATACAATGTTAAATTTCACCTCCAAGCTACATATATTTGGCACCACTATACTTTAGCAAGATATGTTTAATATTCTATTTTTATCTCTGAATCCACTGTAATAAAATATTTTATAGTGATTTGATAGATGAAATTTGAAACATATATAAACATGTTAAACCACAAAACTTAATCCATTTAGTGGTCTAAAATTTAAAAAACCATGTATTGTTCACATTCATAAAGATTTTCTGGATTATGTTTACATTTTTCTCTTCCAACTTTTGTTTTGCTATTTGTACATAACTATTATATTCCAAGTTTATCTCAGAGCTTTTATAAACCTGATCGAAGTTCAAGCAGTCGGCAATTAACTTGAAGCCCACCAATCTATCATTCTTGCACGAGTTCCTATAGGTCAGATTCCCGCAAAAGTACTCACGTATTCATTCAAGCTAATCGAAGCTTTTTCCGGCCCTTTGCAGTCGGCATACAGCATCCCACTTTCATATGACAAATCATTGCAAGTTTCAAGCAAATTGTCACAACACTGCAGTGTCATAAGCTAGTGATCAGTTTCCAAATTACTTACCAAGCTGCTCTTCCAAAATACCGGTACCATGCTTAGAAATAGATAGAACCACACTGCCATGCTACAGAGCTTCAAATGTAAGAAGTTAGAGAACCCAATCCAGTATATGAAAGTTACAAGGACAAAACAGCAGCCATGAATGCCAAATTATGATTCCTTTCGTGATTTTCGAGACCAAAGAACTTCCAGAGCTGAGTAGATTTTACCTCGAGAATTTAGAGAGCACAAACAATGACAACAATGACAGGTCGATCAACCAGTCTTTTTTTGCGTGCTCTCCTGTCCTTGATCCACAGGAACATTGTGTCTCATCACGAATGGAGGCCGGCATTTCTTCGCCAAGATCTCATTCTGGATCCTCTCCATGTACATCTCCAAAGTCTCCACTTCCACAAGCCTCTTCACCTGCAAAGAATTCACAAAATAAACTTCCATTGGCCAAAGAATGTAGCTACCTGCTCGATGAGCCCCAAAACAGTGGGCGTGTTCTTCACCACCACCGAATGCCCTCGCTTTGGAATCCCCAGCGTCTTCACCAGCGCCGTTCTGTGCTTCTGCTTCGTCCCCGGCAGGCCACGGACGAGCTTCACAACCAAATGCGTGGTCCATGCCGGCTTGCTCATCGCGCACAATCCCAGAACCTCGAATCGATCGAATCGAAGACGCGAATCGAGAGAAAATACTGTAAAACCCTAAACGAAGAACCCTAAAATAAGACCCCTGTTTTAGGGCTCTTCCGCAATTTCCGGGACAAAGTAACTTCGAGTTTATATAGCCTTTAGACTTTACAGAAAGCTCTACCTTTATAAGCTACCTATAGCTCTCTCTTTCCATCTTTTTTTTCCCTTCTATATAGTGCTCTGGGACCACTGAATGTTTGCCCTGCGTGGTGCCTTCTGTGAGAACTTTTGGATCGATCTAGCTGGTGTTCTTCATCATCGAAACTCTTCTCGACCCTTTCTCTAGTGCTGCGTCCACTGGATGCTCTTGAGATCCACCCCGTCCTTGACCATCTCCCACAGCGGGCTCATCTCCCGCAGCTTCTCCACCTGCGTCACCGTCAGCTCGATCGCCCTGTCGATCTCCTCCACCGTCGTGAACCTCCCGATCCCAAACCGGATCGAAGTGTGAGCCATGTCCTCGTCCACCCCGAGAGCTCGCAGCACATAAGATGGCTCCAAACTCGCGCTCGTACACGCGCTGCCGCTCGACACCGCCACCTCCTTCAAGCCCATGAGCAAGCTCTCGCCCTCCACGCACGCGAACGAGAGATTCAAGTTCCCGGCGTAGCGGTGCTCCATGCTGCCGTTCACCACCACCGCCTGGAGCTTCGCCGTGAGACCATCGTAGAGCCGCTTCTGCAAGGCCTTGATGTGCTCCTCGTCGTAAGCCATCTCCTTGAGAGCTATGTCGCAAGCAGCTCCCATCCCCACCGCCAGCGGCGTCGCCACCGTGCCACTGCGAATCCCCCGCTCCTGTCCGCCACCGCTCATCTGTGCTTCCACTCTCACCCTCGGCCTCCTCCGGAGATAGAGCGCTCCCACGCCTTTGGGCCCGTAGATCTTGTGACCACTCAGCGACATGAGGTCGATCTTCATGTCGTTCACGTTGATCGGGATCTTCCCGGCGGCCTGAGCTCCATCGGTATGGAAGAAGACTTTGTGCTCGCGGCAGAGCTTCCCAATCTCCTCCACCGGCTGGACGACGCCGATCTCGTTGTTGACGGTCATGACCGAGACGATGGCGGTGTCGGGCCGGATGGCGGCCTTGAGCTCGCCCAGATCGATCAGCCCATCTTTCTTCACCGGGAGATAAGTTACCTCGAATCCCTCCTGCTGGAGGTGGCGGCACGAATCCAGCACGCACTTGTGCTCGGTCTGGGTGGTGATGGCGTGCTTCTTCTTCTCCCGGTAGAAGTGCATCACTCCCTTGAGCGCGATGTTGTTGGACTCGGTTGCCCCGGACGTGAAGATGATCTCTTTCGCGTCGGCGCCGATGAGCGCCGCCACTTGCTCGCGCGCCTTCTCCACCGCCTCGTCGCTCTCCCACCCATAGAGATGCGTTCTCGAGTGTGGATTGCCAAACTGGTGGAGATAGTAGGGGATCATCGCGTCAAGAACTCTCGGATCCACCGGCGATGTCGCTTGCATATCCAGATAGAGCGGCCGCCCGGCAATCCTCACCCCCTTCATCTTCACTCCATCTTCGTCCGTGGAATCGTCGATTGGGGAGGCCGCCGCTGCCGCGGCTGTGGATTGAGACCTACCGCCATAGCCGCTACTCAAGAACAAGGCGCCAGGAGGAGAAGTGGTGGATTCTAGCGGCGATGAGTAGCTGAGAGCACTCCTCCGCCACGCCGCCACTGCCGATCTTGCCGCAAAACGCTTCATCGCGCGCTCTACAATCCCTAGGTCACATTATTGTAAAGGATAAAGGAAGAATCTACTAGGGAGAGAATATGCTATTTCATTCAGAGTATATTCTTTTCTTCCACGCAAGCCCTAAGTTTGATATTCTTCTCATGGCTCATGGCTTATGCTGCGCCTGGCGGGAATGTCGCTCGTCGCTAGGGCATTGGAGCTCGCCGATGGGCCGGAGCGATGCGAGGAAGGGAGCTAGGAGGGGATTGCTGCTGGGAGCATCGATTTTCTTTACAGGGTTATGCGCCGTGGAGAGGCGGACAGCGCTCGCCTGGTTTCCGGCCAAGATCGATGCCGCCAGGGCTCCACAGCACCCGTTTGATGCTGCCGATCAGAGGCTCAGGAATGCCGCCATGACATTCGAGCAGGCGCTTCGATCGAGCACTGTGAGTCGTGAAACTAGTTTTTTCGTTTTGTGATTGAGTGTAATGGTCTTTAAGGTTGAAGAAGAGGAGAGGCTGTGGACGAAAGTGATTGATAGCTGTGAAGGCGTGGATGCCGAATGGGTTCCTGATATTTTATCTCGGGCTTACGGCAATAGAGGAAATTCACGCAGCAGACAGGCATTCTTCTCAAATATTCTTGAATCAAGCCCAGTGTTTTTATACATTTTTTTTCCTTTTCTGCAGGGAAAAATCCAGGAAGCTCTCGCAGATTATGATCGCTCCATACTTCTGGCTCCGTGAGTAACTCTTGCTTAAGATTGGCAAGTATGACTACTCTACGTTGATTAGATACGCGGTGGATCCTGTGTTGAACCGAGGAGTAGCGTTGGAAAGTCTGCGCATGTTTGAGAAAGCCACGGCAGACTACATAGCTGTTCTTCAGAGTCAACCAGATGATCCCGCTGCATGGAATAATCTTGGAAATGTTCAGGTGCCTCTTCTTTCTTTGTTTTGAATTTCTTCATTGAGTTCAAGTTCACGTGATATTTCTGTAGGGAGCTCTTGGCCGCTGGAGCGAAGCTCTTAAGTGTTATGGAAAGGCCACTAAGCTCTCCCCTCAATATGCGTTTGCTGCTGGAAACTATGCGTTGGTTAGTGTCATGCTGCATTGGAAATTTTATGTGCTGTTTACTACTTTCAGGCTCTCTATCAAACAGGCCGAGAAAATGAAGCAATCAGACAATTTCGATCTCTTTTGAGAAAGTATCCGGAGGTCAGTTCAAGAACATCTTTTGTAACTTTCTGATAACAACTTCTGATCGACGACAGTTTCCAGATATAAGAGCAGCACTAGCTGTTTCATTGTACGCACAGGGCTCAAGAGCAGAAGCGGAAACCAACTGGTCGCGGCTTGAGGTCAGAGTCTAATGGCTTTGGAACCAAACGTTAACTTTATTTTCTAACCTTTCAGGATGGACGCTACAAGGATCGAAGCTGGATTCGAAATACTCGCAGATGGCCGCCCAAGCTTGCAGATGCTTTGGATGCCTTTCTAGAGATACGGGTGCCAGTTTAAGCAGGAATCATGTTCTTGACGAAAACAAACTTATAAAGGTCGGATTCTTCAATGGTTTTCATTGCGGCAGATTTACATATATTAACAGTTGTGTTCTGCAGAGCTGGAAAAGTTGGAAGAATTATCTATGAAGTTAAGTAGGATAATACGTCGAAGCTATGTCGGGAGCTCTATCTGATGAGGCTGTAGGCCAACTCTTCAACAAGGCTATTGAAAATACTTCCTTCAACCTCGGCACCAATCTTTCGCAAGTCGTTGCTGGTGTCCATCCACTGATCGCTTATATTCACGTCTCTCTCCACCAAGTTCTCGAGGGAGTAGTCGACGGTGTCATATTCGTGGCGGTACAGGGAGATCGCCTTGTCGATTTCGTGTAGCAAGTATTTCCCCGAAGGAATGGGCCTGATTCCTTCCTTTCCTGTGGTAAGTGATGGACGGTCATCCCACAGGTGCTGAAACTTCTGGGACAGGACCTCGTTGACAACGTCGAACAGCATCTGCCTGTGCAACGTCTCCGGACGTCTTTGTACCTGGGTAAAGGTTCTGCCAATCTTGAGCTTTCTCTGACTTCTGGAACTTCTTCTCTTTCCAGGTTGACAGGGTGACGGTTCCTCAGAACAGACGTAGTCCTCCTCGAGCTTGGCAAAGAGATATGGATCGATGGGATAAGTAGGGGAGTGCCAGGCGAATAACGAGCCGAGGGAGTTTGAGAAGCCTGAGGCGTGGATGAGCTTGGAAATGTATAGGTGGTCTTGGCTGGTCGGGGAGCAGTGTCGACTTCTGAGGGGTGCCAAGGATGAAAGATCAGCTTTTGCAGCCGCCGGGGAACTAGCAGGAACAAATTCTTGTTTTTCGGTCGTCGCAAGGTGTCCGACGTTTTGAGTTCTTCCAGACTCGTCCAACTTGAGACGTTCAAGACGCATTTGAAGTTCTGCAAAGCGAAGCGATGGCTGCTCAGTATGGAACTATCAAGGCTAAGAGGCCGAGGATTTACCTTGCAAGTCGGAACTGGCATCTTCGAAGCTTACAGGACTGGGACTTTCTTCGATGAACCCCCTCTCCAAGACGGAAACAGGACTTGGTTGCTCAGACTTCTCTGTATGGATATCGGAGGACGTCTCGAGATGGTCCAGACCTCCAGTAATATCGAGGGACAGGAACCTTGGGGACTGATCGAACTGAGCAAAGTAACTCTCGTCAGTGGAGGAAGGATGAATGGCAACGGCAGTTCTTACCTTGTCGGAATTGCAACGTTCGTAGGAGCCGGCGAGCTGGGCCTCCGTTTCTCTGAAAGTCCGGATGTAGTGGTCTTCGAAGGCAGAGGAGACCGAGTGTTCGATCGTCCTGCATGCCACCTGTTGCTTCTCTGGGGACGGCTTGACGAGTTCTGATGTGTCCGAAGGTGTCCGGGTGTGGCTCTTCTTCTTTCCCAGCAGGCTGCTCTTGAGACTCGAGAATTTTCCTTTGGGAGTCGAAGCTGTCGAAGTGCTACTGCTGGCATTATCCGGGATCGATGAACGGCTGCTACTGCAGGAATGTGTTCGCTCGAGAACTTCGGCTGGCCCCGGACTTTGCTCCTCCACAAGACTGGAAACTGACTTCGACCTTACCAACAGCCTTGGAGAGTCATCGGACGCAGATTTCTGGGCATTGTCTCTACTGAAGAGCTTCAACAGCTTACCACCTTTGTGCTTCTTCGGCTGTTCATATTCCTGCTGCTTAGCTGCCGGTACGATCTCAATCTGGATGCTGACTGACGAATCCCTGGACGACTCATCATCGGACTGATTCGCCTCGGCGGCCAGCTTAAGCTTTTGCATGAGCTGCTTTCGTCCTTCTTTGCTGCTGACGTTGGCGGCGGGCGCTTTGTCCCTGTTGCTCAGCTTTGGCGAGCTCGGCAAGCTTGCGGTGGATTGATAAACTTGGTAGTCCTTCGGATATCTTCTCGAGGATGGTTCCGATCCTTCGCCACCTCCGACTGCCATCTCAATTCCATCGAAGCTCCAAGTTGAAGCTGCTGCCCGTGATCGAGCTTTACTGTCCGCCTTCGAGTTCTTCTGCTCCAGCTCTTTGGTGACGTTCTCTCGAACTTGTCTGGCGATCTGCCTGGCCATCTCCCGTGGGTCGGTGGTCGACGCGCTGACATTCTTCAAGCAGCGGCTCTTCTTCACGCCGTCTTCTGCAAGCTCCATTGAACGTGGAGTGGTGGGAGTCCGTGCTGGAGTGCCGTTCGGTTTCGCGTTGGGCTTGAGGAGGATGATCTTGCTATCGTCTTGAACTTGGCTCCTTTCGATGCTGCCTTTTCTCTGCTGCTTCTGGACGACTTGCTTCTTTGCGCTACTACCCCTGGTAAGCTCGCGATCTTTTTTGGGTTCTACCAACTTCCTGGAGAATCCAATGTTGTCTTGCTGCTGTGTGACGATTTCTTTAGGTGTTCTGTGCAGAGACCTTGATTTGTTCCTCGCTTCTTCTTCCGCCGCTGCTTCTTTTGTGGCCAAGGCCTGTAAGTCATATACGTGCCTTGCGAAAACAGAGTTTGGTTCTTGAAGAAATTTGACCAGAAACTCTTTGTTGGATTGCAGGAACTGGATGGCGTCAAGCATCTCCTTCGGCTCCCCGGGTTGACGCTTGGTGTTCGTGACTGCTTCCAAGAGTTTCTCAGGGACCGAAATGCCAGAATTGCCGACTTTTGCAGCTCTCTGCTTCATCTGAAGCGAGGAGAATTGCTCTTCCATCTGTGACTTTCGGTGCCGCTGGGCCTGGAACTCTTGCTTCAGTTTCTCGAGCTGCTTCTCCTGTGGATGATCGCGAAACGGCAGCACGTCAAAGAGAAGAAACTCGTCCTGCTCTGTTCTTGGAGGCCATTCCTTGAGCTTGGAATTGCCGTTGCAGCTGAGTTGCCTTGTCAACTGCTGGTGCCTCACTTGTTCATGGCTGCCGCTGTAGCGCTCCTTGGTGCTTCTGCTGGTGAGAAGGCTACGTCTTTCTGACGAAAGAAGTTGCAACTCCTCTTGTGAGTTTTGCCTTGAAGTTGCTTGCCGTTTTAACTGAGGGAGTGGCTGTTCCGCAGGAAGCGTGTCCAAGCCCATCAGTCTGGCAATTACACTCGGCGAGCGGCATCTGCTGTCCATGCTTGCGGCTGATGGATTTGGGACGGAAACTCGGGGTGGTGCCTTGTCCGTGGATTTTCTCAGCGCAAACTCGAATCCAAACTGCCGATTGAAGACAAAAGGTTAGAACTATACCGCTCCCTTGAACTGTCACTACTTACCGGAATTTCATCGCTCGGTCCAGACGCTGGTACATGGTTTTGCCTCATACTCTCGAATGCTGCACTGGAAATGTCCAAGCTATTCCTGGGAGCTTCAAAACCTGCAAAAAAACACACCTTTGAGCTCGGTCCAAGAGGAGCAACGATGAACAATTCTACCTTCGGAAAATTTCCGCTCGGAGAGCGATTTCCTCGCTACGACGACAGGGGTTGTGTCCTCGGATTCCGGTGCTCCGTTCCAGATTCCGTTGAAGCAGCCAGGGACATCATGGTAAGCGGGAGCTGGCTTGGACTTCCTTCCCATGACTCACACCTCTATACTGCTTTTCTCTAGGCCGAAAACGTTCGAAATTTTCAAGGATTCTGGGACACTCCCTATAGCTGCATTGTTATAGAGCACTACAGAGCAAGCAATGCTGCCGTTGTCGGTGACTCTAGCACAGGAAAGGAAGCTCGATCAAGTCAATGCTAGCACTGTTGCATTGAAAGGTACCACTGCCTCCTAGTCTATGAATTTCTCTCCTAAGGGCTTTGATCTGCGCAGGCTCGGAGAAGATAAGCATCGACAAGCAATTGCGCTGGAGAAGAAGTATAGCAGGCTAGCAGCGCGAGGGGTGAAGTGCAGAGAAAGAAAAGGCGGAAGAACAGAGCTTGTTCTTCACGATAAGAGCGGTCCTCGGTACTTCAAGAGCCTCGTTAAGGTCTGGTCGAGAGCACCCCTTTAGAGAGGACTGCAATTGATTTAATCACTGGGAATGGTCCTTGCTTAGATTATCATAACAAATCGTATCCTCTGTGCAGAGGACAGTGAGAGGTCGGTGGTCTCCTTTCTTCTTCGACGCGTAACCAAGACGTACCGAGGTAACCTTTGCTCCAAGTTTCCTTCTCCGTGTTAGTTATCAAGCTAAAGCATTGTTTTAGATGGATTTGATAAGCACAGATCGCTCAAGGCTGGGATGGGCGATCGTGGTCATCATCATAACAACGAGCAGGTATTTTAAAAAAATCATGTCATAGTATTCCCAATGGCCGTACGCTATGGTGAATGTACGCAGGGAGAATATTCGCAACTTGCGAAGTCGAGAAGAACTTAGAACTTAAGAACTTACTATGCGTAAAAGCTTTCCATGGTGCTTGAGCTTTCAAAGGTTTGCTTTGTTTTCTCGCTACTTTTTTTTATCCTAATTTTTCTTTTTCTTGTTTTCTTTCTAGAGGGGAGGGAGCTTCTTTAACTGCCTTCTGCTCCTCCCATAAAGTGGGAGCTGAAATTTTTTGAACTCGCTTCATTCATTCGGTCGATTGATGCTCTCTGCGGGATTTAATGTGTCGAGTTTTTTGAGTTTGAACGATCCGATGCAAAAATGTCGCCTACGCGCAAACGTGGATTGATTGATGGATGGACTCTGATTGATTGATTTAGATTCAAACAAACTCCACACGACTCGGTTAGGATTGTCAGCCAACATGATGCTAATTCCCTGCTGCGCCTGCGATCGTCTTCACTTGATAGCGTAGCAAGTTAGAGGCTTCTATCAAGTTAGAGGGCTATGAATTGTTTATCATATTGATTAACAACTGTTTATAAGTTTAAACAATGGTAGTGTTTGGTCGTGTGCATGTGATCTTTTGAGGAAAAAACTCGTGCTCACCCAAAACGATTTCGTAGGTGGGATTGGAATCCTCGCTCTGGGGAAAGGAGAAGATCGAACTGCGGGCTATTCCATTTGGCCAGCCAGCTCATGAACATTCCATAAACTAAAGAGATCTCCTCATTCTCGCCCACATGCATCCGTGATATTAGTCTTGACAAAATTATTCTTGTCAGGATTTCCCAAGCTTTATTATTCCAGAGCGAGTGGCCGTAAACAATACTAAAAAGGTGGCATACAACCGAGCAAATCATCGCAGAAGTCCAGCCCGCACAAGGCGATGTTAACGTGGGGGGAAATTACTTGTAAAACATCTCCCAGGCTCGATCGAGACATCGCGCTCCATCACATGATTATCGCTGCAATTTTTTTCTGTGATCTCTCTCCCCATGATTGGAATTCCATCTTTAGTTTTGCTGCTAGCCTTAGTTAAGTCGCAGTCGAATCCCGTCGGCTCGCTGGCGATATTTAGTCCCGATTTTTAACTTCTGCGAGCCACGAGTTTAGAAACGCGAAAGGCTGCGAATTGCAACACATCTTCGTCCGCATTTGTTTGGAGTCACGTTTGGGGGACGCGTGATGCCTGTGTTGAAGCAGTCCATGTGTGCAACTAATGAAAAGGTGGCTAAAGAAAGTTGCTTATCCTCGCCTCCATTAAACTACGTCAACCTCAAGCCTCTCTCACATGGCAATTTGATCATCTAGCAAGCTTAACATTCCCTGTTTGAAAATCCTTAAAATGTTGGTCATCCCACCCTGAAGACTGGCTTCAAGAACGACCTTTCCATGCCCAAGGCGTCTTCCAGATTACATATTATCACCTAATCCTGTTAGAACTATAGAATTATACTAGCTTAATCACCCCCATCGCCATCCTGTCAATTCGTGACCTCTGCTATATCCCAAAAGCAAAACCTTGGCAGGGAGAGGTCCAAAGTATATAAGCATGGCAGTTTGTAATAAATTGAATGATCTTATGCCATTTTTCTTCTCTTTTTTGTATATGGCGCCCAAGGCAGGCCAAGTCAAGAAAGCTTCTGCGCTGCGGGGCGATCTTAATATTCAAATTCCTTGTCGTCACTTTCCCTTGTTTTTACATTTCTTCAGGTTCAGGCTGGCGGACTCTGGGCTGGCTGCGGCTTCTGCCTCTCACACAAATGATTCATGCACACCCACACACCCATTGCCTTATCTGCCTGTATGCGCCACAGCGAGATTCCCATGATTTCAAACGACAATTCAGAAGACCCATGCACATTAGCCCCACTACAGTGTAAAAACCAAAAATACCCCAAAAAAAAACAAAGACAAGAAGTCAAATATATCGTTAATACACATTTTCAAATAAAATATATATGAGCGTGTGTATTTGGATTTGGTCCTTCAGCTGGAAGGCAAAAACAAAACGGTGTGTGCAGCTGCTGCCAATGTGTTTTTGAGTTGGTGTCTGTAAAAAACTGGTGTTTTCTGCTGTGCAAAGCTGCTTGTAACTTACACGTTTGTTGCTTATTGGTTAGAGTGGCAGTTTCACACATTAAAGAGGTGGTGTAATTTTGTGCATATATGGTCCTTGTGTGTGGTGTGTGGTAAGCTTTAGATCTAGCAGCATGCTGGTTGGTTGGTGAGGACCAGGAAGTTGAGAAGAAGACCTCCCTCCCCACTTCTATGACCTTGACCTAAAGACTGCACCAACTTTGAGTGGTTCATGTCAAGCTTTTTCACACAATCTCAGGGAAAAAGCCCTGGAATTTCATTCAATGTCCCTTGTTGTTTCTTCATGCAGCCTGGCTTTTGTTGCGTGATCCCTGTCACCAAAGTGTTTTCTCTTTTCTCCTCCCTCTTCTCTTATGTCATTTTTCTTATATATATATAAATTTCAACTTTGACCAAGGGTTTTTAACCGACACCGTCTTTTGAGCTCCAGGCCTTCTGGAGAATAGCATGTGTAGTGTATAGTGTGAAATGAGTGCGTGCCAATGCGATAAGCTGCGCAGCACTGCGTGATTGATTGATAGCCTGACTGGTGGGCTGAGTGATTCCTTCGGTATAATTTCTTTACGGCTGATAAAAAAAGAACACACGGTTCTTCCGAGGGTCATGGTCAACTATACAGTGTACGGTAACGAATCAAAGTTTCAAAAAAAAATTAAACAAAAAAAATCGAGAGAAGTTGATCGAGATAATAAAAATAATCTATCCATCTAGCCAAGTAACTTTCAGTGAGCGAGACGAGAAATACCTTACCTGGCCACCACCAGAGCTGCTCAAAGGCTCGCAAGAGTCAGACGCTTTTCTTTGCGTTGCCAGTCACTGGAAAGATGGAATCATTGATCACCTTCTTTCTACCATCACTATGGTGACGCAAAGCTTTTCACCATCCCAGCAAGAGAAAGAAGAAATCTATAAAAAAAAAAAAAAGAAAAACAGAGGGAGACAAGAGCATAGCCACCTTGTTTTCTTGGGTCCCAAAGCTGTGACTGTTATCTCCTACGCGGCAGGAGCTATGGCTTGTGATTGATTGATGGTACCAGCAAAAACTCCAGTCCTTGAGGTGGCGGTGGCGCCAAAGCTCTTCTGGAGCGCACTCAAGCTTAGAGAATTAACACCTCTTTTCGAGTTCCCAGCCTTTCTGCGTACCAGAAAGAGAACAACTTCGACGAGTTCTCTTTAATGTCTCCTCCTCCAGCGCTGCGTGTCTGTGGATTCTCCAGTCTTGTGTGTTGCAATGCTGCCAATGCCGAGAAAAGAGAAACCAAAAAAAAAAAAAGAAAAAAACTAGCAAGCAGCTTCCACATGGAAGTTCTGGCTCTTGGATCCCACCAAAGTCGTAAAACACGGACAGGCCACCAGCAAATTCGTTGCTTGGCAGTCTCTCAGCTCTATCTCCTCAAGTGCTGCTCCGCGCAGCAGTGGCTCATAGATTAGACCTGTTTGCTGGCTCGCTCTTCGCGAGCTCGTTCCTTCCTTCCTTCCTTCCCTGGAGTGATATGATATGTCCCTCCTTGGTGGCAGCCTTTAAAGTTACTTAGTTTGGTGCTCCACTTCCATCCAGTTAGCACATGTCTCCCACAGAGAACTCTTTACTTCCAATTCTTTTCTCCTCTTTGTTGTTCTTCCCGAGTACGATCACGCAGAGCTAGAGTTTTAGCTCGAGAGTTCTTCGTTGTCATGCTTCCACCACATGGATCCCACATGAAAGTATTCGATTGCTCCACAGGGTCCACAAACACCACCACCTGGTCTATCACTGCGCCTTTGTCTAGTCGAACCAACTTAAACTCCGGCGGGGGCTCTTCTTCCCAAGTCTCTGTAGAGCCGTGTGTATGAGAGAGACTAGAGCGAAAAAAACAAAGAATCGAAAAAAAACTATAGCTACCTGTAAGGTGTTGTGGTCCTTCCTGCAGCAGCTATGTAAGTTACCACTGTCCAGCGTTGTTCGTTCGTATCGCTTGTCCACTTCATCCATGACTCTCAGGATTTATTGTTTACTCCGCATTTGCAGCGAAAAAGATGCTCCTCCTGCCTTGTTACTGCTGCCAAGGAAGAGAGAGAGAAAAAAAAGGAGAGAGATGAATAAACAAGAGGAAAAATGTACCCATCACTCACCACCGCCATTTGGACAGCGTTTCCGAGACCCTCTACGGCAGCCTTTCGCGTAAGTCACCATGATGAATCATGATTCGTGATACTCCCTCCTGGCCTACGTACGAAACGAAGCGAGAAAAAAGAGAAAACAAAGCAAAAACCTCCACTTAGAGCAAAGAAACAGATCCAACTTTGACGAGCCTTACGCTGGATGGAGCTATAACGGGAAAGGAAGACGATGTAAACTCCGGGATCTCTCCGTGCTCCTCTAGTCCTTGGCAGAGTGAAAAAAAAAGCGCCTGTGAAGCCTTGCTGTGCCTCGTTTACTCACACATGGCTCGGGACCCGCTTACTGTCTGTTGGATCGATAGGGATAAGATGGATAGAAGCAACCAAGGATCCAAAAACGCAAGGCTGCAAGCAACGCAGATGAAAGACGCTTACGTTTGTACCGTCGACAAAGTGCATCACACAAACGTACCTCGTGGTGGCAGACTTAATAAATCACTTGCAGCCCAGAGGAAAAGAGAGATTCCCGCGACAGACATCATCTCCTTGCATCTTTCTTCCACTAGAAGTCCACTTTTTTCCTTCGAACTATCCTTCTCCTTCTCCTTCTGCTGCTGTGGCTGCTTTTCGTTTGGCTCGCATCTTCTCCAGCCACGAAACGATAACGAGTGTCTGTTTGTTTCGAAGGCAACTAAACCCAGCCCAGGAACTTTTGTTGGCTCATGCACAGCGGGCACTGACAAGTTGGTGCTGGTGTTTTCTCTTCTCCTGGTCATTTGCACCATTGCCTGAGAAGTTGTCCTCCTTAACGCCTTCTGTTTCTTCATTTTCGCTTCCACCATCCGAAGAGCTCTAAAGAGGGGCCCGGACAAAGTGGCGCTTCGACCAAAGCTCGTACATGGTCATGTGGAAAGAGTCGTATTCCCGTGGAGAGTGATGCCAGCCAAAGTGTCTCTTAACTCGTCGGCCATTCGACCAAAGCCGTGCATACTCTTCATGCGTGACGCTCTGGAGCTTCGCCTTCAAAGCCGGGATCTGCGTGTACCTCAGGACGATCGAGAAGCTCCTCCAATTGAGAACGTTGGACAGCGGCAGATCGTACTGGTTGGAAATGATAACGGGGACGCAGCCGAAATGGAGAGCGTCGGAGATCCTGGCGGTGTTCACCTCGTAGCCTTTGACGTGCAGACAAAACTTGCTCCGCGATAACGCGTCCTCGTACGAGCCTTGCATGGTTCCCGCAAAGATGTCCATGTCGGAATCGTTGGACCAGAGCTTTAGAAGCGTCTCTCTTAAGTGGGAGTTTTGAGCTCGTCCGGAGAAGAAAGCCAGCCTCGTCCTGGAAATAAGAAGTTCACGCAAAGAGAAAGTCAAGAAAATCTGATAGAACGCAAAAAAAACCACCTTTTTTCAGGTGGAACGATGAAAGTGTCAAGTGGTCGAGGCCAGACTTGAGGAAGAGCGACGTCTTTGTGAGGAACGTAGAGCTTCTGGTAATAGTTCGCCGAGCAAGTAACTTGGATGGCATTTTGCTGCAAAGCCCGGGAGTTGGACGCTGCGTTCCGGCCAACCGAGTGACACCCCACGTAAAAGTGATCCACACCTTCGGTCCGGTTCCAAAACTTGTACCTCTGGCTGATCTCCTCGACGTAACTCTCCACGAAGCTCGAGATCATGGCCTCGGAGCGAATCCGGGGATGGTTTCTCATTGCGTTGATCGAAAACGGCATGAAGAACAAGTGTGCCTCGCCAGGATCCCGCGTCGCGAAAGTGCTGTTGAGCAAGTTGATCTTGAACATATGCTCGCTGAAGAAGTTCCCGAGCTTGCGATCATACGGGTCCGGATGAGGGAGAAAAACCTGGGAGTAATCTGAATTGCCGAATGGATACACATACACCTTGAAGCTCTTCACCATCTCTTCGTAGTCCAGGGAGAAGAGCTCCCAGTTGTGATAGACTTTGGAGCTATGATCTTGACGCTGGGGTCGGGAAGTTCCAGAAGAGAAGTGTCGCTGTCCATCACGGCTGAAAATCTCTCCAAAGCACCCCTGTTGCTGGAGTCGAGTGTTTAAGCCGTGATTTACGGCCACCAGTGCCATGGCCGTAGCGAGGAGCGCGATGGCCAGTTGCTTCCACTTCCACATTGGAGCTTGGGAATGGTCGCTTACCTCGGAATGGAACCCAAGAACCCTAGACCACGGAGAAAGCTCCAGCATTTGCTATGCATTTTCTCTCTGTGGGTCTGTTGCAATGCCGCTCCATCCAGCTGGGAGATCGATCGCGATCCAGCCTCGTGGATGACAATGCGCATCGCGGCTTCTTAGCGATCGTGCTTGATCCTTGAATCTAGCTTTTGGCGCAACAAGAGCCCTAGATCCAACGGTGGAAGTTAGACCGCATTAAATCGCTGCCACGTGTCGGAGCCATAGTATAGTTATGGCTCTGTCGCAAGCTTGTACATGGGAATGTTCACGAACTTGGAAACAAGAATATTTTTCAGACTGCTGATGCCAATGCGTAGAGTAGGATCATCGAGTTCCAGGTTGACACTGGAATTGGATCCGAGACATTTTATGGCGGCACTGGAATTTTCAAAGGAGCTGCTGAAATAATGAAAAATGACAATGGTTGAAATTCAGGAGAAATAGAGTATAAAAGGTGCCTTGCCAATCGTCTGAAGAATCCTTAAGCTCTTTCTTAATGTACTAATGTATTGCATGCGAAGAGATGATCATGGGATTGTACTTTCACAACAAACGCCCAAACCATTTATGACTGATTCTTTTTCCTGGCATTCCAAGCTGATGCTTGGAACTACAGTAAGACATTCCAGCAATCCTTTGCTATCAAGATGAGCTAGACCAACTGCTTATTGTTAATAGTTCACAAACTCTTCTTCTCCAGGGAGAGCCCATACCCATTGTGGTGGGAAAAATTTGAAGCCTCTTTTACCTTTATAAAATTATATCTAAAGTTTTTGGTTTGCTTAAGTAAACTTTAGCAATGGATATACTTAAAATATATTTAGATATTCTAAGATATTTTACCATCTAACGGTTGTTATTCATTTAGATTAATCTTGTATTTATAATTTATAAACATGTTTATGATTTATAAACTTTTTTAAACCCTTTCTAGTATATTTCTTTTTATTCTATCATCTAATGGTTGATATACAATAAGATTAATCTTACAAACATGCTTATAATTATATACTTTATTTGATCAATTAGATTAATAAGTAATAATAGAACTACCATTAAGCAAACCAAACGTACATGCAACACATAGCAATTTACTATATCTATAATTTAAACATATCTAAATAACTATATAAGAAAGAGTCCCATGACACAAAGGCATGGATAATAGAGTTTGAAGTATGGTGTGAAGCTTCTAATTTGCTACACTAGGTACGTTTTCCCTTCTTGTTCTTAACCACTAACCAATAATAGTGGTGTGATGATTAATCTTATTATTTTGTAGACCACAAAGGAACAAATTACAAACTAAGAGCTAAAAAACAAGCCAAAAACTACCATAAAATGCTATGATTTTGTAATTCAAGTCCTTCCTACATATCATTCTATTCTATGCACTCTGTTGCACTAACAAATTCTGATCCAATTAATGCCTTTGCACTTGCAATTCGGTCGTGTAAAGATTTACCCAAAGCTCAGCAATTGCACAAGAATCTTCTAGAAAGCCAACATGCCAAGAACAAATTTCTCCTCAACCTGCTGCTTTCTGCATATGGCAGATGTGGAGGTCTGGAATATGCAAAGAAAGTGTTTGACAACATGGTCACACCAAATGTATTTACCTGGAATCTCATGATTCAAGCTTATGCCGAGAATGGGCATTTGGAGAAAGCCCAACAGATGCTTAATTCGATGCCTGAAAAAAACCCTATAGCACAGAACGCTCTCATCTCTGCTTATGCACAAAGAGGAGATTTTGAAAACTCCAGAGAAGTATTCAACAGCATGAAGGACAGAACAGCGGCATCTTGGAACACAATGGTGACAGTATATGCCCGAAATGGGCAACTTGACGAGGCAAGGAGTGTTCTCGAGAGCATGCCAGAACCTAACATTCTCGCTATCACAGCCATGGTTGTGGCATATGCTGAGGTTGGGAATCTCAAGCAGGCAAGGATTCTTTTTTATTCCATGGCCCAGCGTGACATTGTGTCCTGGACTGCAATGCTCAAGGCCTATGTCTATAACAGCCAAATGGATGATGCCAAAAAGCTGTTTGATTCCATGCCAGAGAGGAATGTGGTATCCTGGACGACAATGCTTACAGCATATTCCCAGTCTGGGCATCTTGGAAGTGCCAAGGGCATCTTTGATGCCATGCCTGAGAAGAATGTAGTGACGTGGACGTCGATGGTACAAGGGTACGCTCTCCATGGCCACGTGGAAGATGCGGAAGCGCTGTTCCAGCAAATGCCAGAGCGGGACATTGTGACGTGGAACGCCATGCTGGTGGGATTCACACAGAAGGGACACGTGGCAAGAGCCAAGAAGCTGTTCGACCAGATGCCCAGGTGGGACGCCGTGACGTGGAGCATTATGCTGCAATGCCTTGCCGAGAATGGGCATCTGGAAGATGCTAGGAATCTCTTTGACAGGATTCCCGAGCGCAATGTGGTGGTGTGGAATATTCTCATCCAGGCGTACGTCCAGCACGAAGATATCAACACCGCCACGTGGCTCTACCACAGAATGCCAGCTCACAACAGAATCACACGAAATGTTATGATCGTTGCAAATGCCCTGGAAGGGCATCTGGAAGATGCCCGTTGCATATTCGACAATATGCCTAGCAAAGATATTGTGAGCTGGAGCTCGCTGATCGAGGCATACGCACAAGCGACCTACGTTGACCAGGCAAAGTCAATGTTTGACCGGATGCCCGAGCATGATACTGTTGCGTGGACCGCAATGTTTGCAGCATTTGCCCAAGAAGGCGATTTGGTAGCGGCGAAGTTGATGTTCCACGGCATGCCCGAGCAAGATACCGTCGCCTGGAACGCGATGACCGCAGCGTTTGCGCAGAATGGGCGATACTCCGACGTGGAGAAGTTCTTCGGCTTTGCTCCCAGCAGAGATCCTGTGACTTGGAGCGCTCAAATCGCGACTTACGCGCACAATGGCCACGCCGTGGAGGCGCTCCATCTATTCTGGTGCTTGCTGATTGAGGGGATGATCCCCGACGCCACCATCTTCAACAACATCCTCTCGGCGAGCAGCCACATTGGCGAGCTCAAGGATGCCTGGCGCTACTTCGTGTCCATCACTGACGATCACGGCCTGGTCCCCTCGCACGATAACTACTGCTGCATGGTGGATGTTCTTGGGCGGTGTGGACAGCTGCGAGACGCCGAGGAGCTCGTCCACACTATGCCGTTTTTGCCGGACTCGGTGGCGTGGGGTGCACTGGTTGCGTCTTGCAAGGAGCACAACGATGCCGATCGGGCCGCTCGAGCAGCTCAGCTTGCAGCCGAGAGGAACCCAGAGAATTCAGTGTTCTACGTGCTGCTCTCCAACACTCTGAGAACCATCAAACAGAAAAGGAGAAGTTCTAGTCAGGAAGAGACGTGCGAAGCTTGAATTTACCAAAGGATGCCGAGATTTGTATCGCAAGCATTCATTCTTCTACCTCTGCCGCGGCTGTGCGCTTATTGCAAGCACGATTGGCAACTCGAGCAGCAAAGGAACCCGGAAATTTCAATCTTTTACATGTTGCTCTCCTACACCGAGAGCCATCAGTATAAAAAAGTTCGAAAAATCCTGTACTTTACCAGAGGCAATCGAGTTTTTTTCCCAAGCTCGTGATTCGCTTTTTTCAGCGACGAGGTAGAAGAATCCAAAACCTCTATAAAAAAAATTTTGGTTAGTCAAGAGAAGTTCGCATCTACTGTGCTTTACCTGAAGCTGACGATTTCTTGCAAGTCTTTCCAAGACGTGCAGAATGACTCCATTCTCTGTGTCTTCTACCAGCAGTCCTTGCATGAGCACGTACCATTACTGAAGTGATGAAACCTGAGGCTGTCCCTCACGATGATCTCCCTTCCCATAATCATAGAGATGTACTTGGTAGCAGTATGACAGTCGCCGCAGACACGAAGGTTCTTCACGATCTTGAGAGTTGTGTCGGGAGGAGTTGCTATCAATCCAAAAGCAATGGCTATCCTTTCACTATGATAGCCGAGCGCCTTCTCCTTAAGCTCGTCTTCAGCGTCAAGTCCCTTGTCCGCCTCGTATCCAGCTCTTCGCATCAGCAGCTCAAGCTTGTCGAGCACGACATAAATCTCGTCTGTCTGTGGATGTGATCTGTCACCAGCGACAAATTCGTGAACCTGCTTTCCAATCTCGAGCCAGCTCATTCCAGGGGCGTTCTTCACATTCTGGTCGAGCAGCTTCTTTCTATCGACATCTGCATCCTTCCATTTTCCAGTAGCGCAGTAAATGTTGGAGAGAACGACGTGAGCTGCCGAGTTGTGTGGATCCAGCTCTAGAATCCTCTGAGCACATCTCTCACCAAGTTCGGCATCTCCCTGAAGCTTGCAAGTCCCGAGCAAGCTCGTCCAGACCAGAGTGTTGTCTTCGAACGGCATCTTGCGGATGATCTGCTCGGCATGCTCGAGCTGTCCTGCTCGTCCAAGGAGATCCACGAAACAGGCGTAGTGCTCCAAAGTAGGAGATATTCCGAAGTACTCCTTCATAGTAAGGAAGGAGCTGCAGCCTTCCTCAACCATTCCAGCATGGCCGCATGCAGAAATGATACTGACGAGCGTCGCGACGTCGGGTCTCACGCCTTCCTGCTGCATTTTCCAGAACATCTTGACGGCCTCTTCGCTGAATCCATGCTGAGCCAGTGCTCCTATAATGGCGTTGAGAAGCACGACGGTCCACTGGCAAGCTCCTCGAAACAAGGAGATGGCCTCGTCTAGCTTGCCACACTTGGCATAGAGCTTAACCAGTCCCGTGGCCACCGAGACGTCTGAATCAAGGCCACTCTCAGCTGCTAAGCCGTGGAAGAGCTTGCCATCGGAAACAAGTGCTGAGCCCCCAGATACGTTGAGCGTTGTAGAGAAAGTAAGCTTATCTGGCTTCACACCTTCTAGCTGCATGTGACGGAAGAGAAGAACAGCCTCCTTAGCCAAGCCAGCTTGAGCATAGGCTGCGCTCATAATGTTCCACGAGACGAGATCTCGAGCCTTCATCGTCTCAAAGAAGCTCAAGGCCTCCCTCCAGTCACCACAGTTGGAGTACATGTTGAGCAGTGCATTCTCCACAGCGATGTCCGCTTCTAATCCGATCTCAGTAACGCACGCATGGATGATTTTCCCTAGTCCCAGAGTCGTGGAGTCCAGGCAAGTGTCCAGAGTCGTAGCCAGCGTGAACTTATCCGGAATAACTCCTTCCAGCTGCATCCTCCTGAAAAGATGGTGAACCTCTTTGAAGTCCCTGTTTTCGGCCGTCGCTGAAACCATGGCTGTCCACGAGACCACATCCCCGTGATCCATCTCGTCGAACACACTTCGAGCTTGCTCTAGCTCTCGACACCTGCCATGCATGCTGATAAGTGCGGTCTCCAGGCAGGCCGATCGATAGCCACTCTCCAAGATACACATTCGTAGAACTTGAGCCTCTTGTGAGCAGTAGCACGAACTGAGAACGCTGGTGAAGCTGAGAGCATCCGGAAGAACACCACCTTGCAGCATCTCCATGAGCGCTCCGAAAGCTTCTTTCGATCGATCGTTCTGTGCATATGCCCCGAGCATTACGTTCCAAGTAACCAAGCTCCGGGAAGGCAGCGGCATCTCCTTGAAAACTAGCTCCGCCTCTGCAATACTCCCACACTTCCCATACATGGAGACGAGCATGGTCGCCACAGAACTCTCTACGTAGTCCCGTCGTCTAGTCAGGATCAAGGAATGGATCTTCCTGCCAAAGTCCAAAGCTTCGCTATTAGAACAGGCATTGAGAATTGCAATGAAGCTCACCTTGTTCGGGTCTATCCCCGCCAAGAGCATGTGATGGAAAGTATTCACGACTTTGCCGAAGCTCTTGCGATCTTCGCTGGCTCCAAGCATCGTATTCCACGAAATCACGTCACATTTCCACCGGATCCGCCGAAAAACAGTCCAGGCCGCGGAAAAGAACCCACATTTCGCATACATGCTGATGATCGCGTTGCCGACGACGACATCCCGCAAGTAGCCGCTCTCCCAGATCCGGCCATGGAATTTCCTGGCAGCGCCAAAATCCACGCCAGAAGCCGCAAGAGCATTGAGAATCGTGATCAGTGTCACGGAATTGGGGCGCATACCTTCGAGACGCAAGCGCCGGAAGATCGCCATGGCGTCACCGTGCCGCCCCGCCTCGACGCTCGCGGAGATCATCGCGTTCCAAGAAACTAGGTCGAGCTCCTGGCGGGAAGCCATGGCTTTAAAAACGCCGTACGCTCCCTCCCAGTCCCCACACTTGCCGTACATATTAATAAGCGCATTACCGGCCAGAGGATCGAACCCCAGACCGGCCTCGTGTAAGAGAGAGTGGAGCCACGTGCCATCTCGCAAGCTTGTACACGCGCCAAGCGCTGTGATAAAGGTGATCACATTGGGGGCGAGAGGTTGAAGAAGCATTTCCCGGAATATCCTTAGGGCGTCTGGGTAGAATCTTCTCTCCTGGGCGTAAGCTCCGGCCATGGCGGTCCACGATACAACGTCCTTCTCCGGTATCGTCAGAAAGACCGCGATGGCGTCCTCCGGGCTCCCGCATTTGGCATACATGTTGATCATCGCATTACCCACAAGCGTCGCGGTTGTGGATTCTCGTTCTAGCCCGAGCTCCCATATCATGGCGTGGATCGATCGCCCAATTGCTAGGTCTCGCGAATTCGCGCATGCGTTGAGCATCGCTACGAGCGTGTAGCTGTTGGGCGCGGCGCTGGATTCGAGCAGCATTGTCCGGAAGAGCGCAAATGCCCGCGCAAAAGCTCCAGACTGGGCATTTGCGGAGATTAAAGCGGTCCAGGAGACAACGTTTCTTTCCTCCATTTTCGAGAAGATCGCGTGGGCTTCTTCGAGGCTGCCACACCGGACGTACATGTTTATGAGACAGTTCCCCAGAAAGAGGTGCTGCTCGAGCCCGGCATTGGCGATCAGTTCGTGGGCGCGTTTGCCTTTGGCGAGATCGTTGGAATCAACGCAGGATTGGAGAAGCGCGGTGTATTCTTGCAGATCGGCAGCGCGATCTACGCGCACTGCTCCAGAGAGGGAGCAGAGCTGCCGGATGATCAATCCACGCTTCATCATTTTCTGGATTCATTCATGTGCCATTGTATCAAAGTGGAGAGAAAAGCGAGCATTCACTACAATTGTTGTGTCTGGTGGCAAGAGTATCTGCTGCGTGGATTTTATTAACGAGCTTCAATCTAAAAGAACCTTTATTTTGATAAGCTTTGACCTCCAAGAGGAACCATACGCAGCAAAAATTTATTTACTGTAGATAGATAATAAAAACATTTTATCATCTTTGATAAAAGTTCACATATATACATGACATATGTGATAAATAAACAGATGAACACCAAACGTTATTATAATGCCACCTAGTTTTGAATAATTTGCTGCATGTTCATTCAGCTGTAGCAATGATTAGTTCAATAGTTTGCTTGTTCATTTAAATATGTCATATGAGTTATTGTAATTGTTTTTTTATCTTTAGATATTTTTAAAATATACATGTTGATAATTTGCATTAATAATAATCTCGAGAATATTTTGTATCCCTTATTAATGCCACAAAAGACATAAACATAAGTTGGGGTCTTTTTACTGCTCCGGTCCACGGCACTTTAAGGTAGTGGCGTTGAAATCATACAATGATCACCAACACCGCTTGCTCCCACGCGCTTTTACTTAGTGGAAGGCAGATTTGATCTCCTTGCCTTGCAGATCGAAGCACCACAAGCGAAGAGGCAGATTTAAGCTTTTGCTGGAGAAAGAAAGATCCATCCACTATGCGAGCTTTCCATGGAGGTTCTCCAGCAGGTCTAGGACGAAGCTTGGGCTCGTCTTGACTGCAAAACTCCAAGAAAGGTGGTCGTGAACCCGCAGAGAACGAGGCCGTCGAGCTCTTCACTGTCGAGTTGCCAGTCCCGATCACATCAGCACAGGTTCAGTAGTCTTGGGCTCGAAGATCTCTCGACAATTGGGGTAATTAACGAACTGAGGTGTGCTGGACTGCGCTATGCCAAGAGTGAGCTTGCTTTCAAACTTTATCTACGCTGAGATGAAAACCAGCGCTGACGACGTGACTTTCGTGGTGGCTCTCACAGCTGGAAAGAAAATCGAAGCCAAGACCAACCGAGACTCTTGGAAATGTGTTTTGATGGGATTCATATATTAGTAAATTACAGTAACTTTGAAGAGAAAGAAATGTCTTTATTGTAAGAAAATTTCTCTTCTTATAACAATGTATATTAGGAGACCAAACCACAATTGAATTTTCAGAATATAATACAATAATTTTATTTTACATTCACAGTTCTTAAAATTTGAAGATCCTTTATACCATTTTATAACATTTCTTATATATAAAACAAGAATGCAATCTAAATAAAAATAAAAATAAGATTTATGATTTGGTGATATTAAAAATTCAGCTTTTAGAAAATTAAAAGGCATATTACTTATTAAAGTAGTGAGATCAATTGTAAAATCATGTAGGTTATCCTAGCATTTTGAATTTGCAGCAATTTGCGTCAAAAGATTTTTCCCCATAAATTCATAGCATAATAACCACTCACTATCTAATAAATCTTGCACATATAGTCTGTTAAATTATATTTTCCTCAAAATTTGACAATTGGATAAATCATATGTTATAAGTATTAATTAAAGAAATTTTTAAGCTTTTTTCTGTAACAACATAGGACATGATGCAATTTAAAGTATCAAAATATTGTATATTAAATTATCCATATGCCATGTGGAAAATAATTTGCTGCACATTGCATGCAGCAACATTTGGTTTCCTTAATAGTAGTCTTGTTTACTATTATTTATTGATCCAATTTATCAATAATTATAAACATGTTTATAATATATGAATAGTAAAATAAACTAGAATATACTAGGAAGTGTTTTGGAATGTTTATAAATTATAAATACAAGATTAATCTAAATGAATAACAACCATTAGATATCACAAAGTATTCAAGCATATTTTACAGTATATTCCTTCAAGTTTGCTTAAGCAAACCAAAAACTAAGTTATACTAAAATAGAATTTTACATAAAAGAAAAATATAAACACAAGAGTTCAGATGAATAAAGCCTGTAGCATACCATCAGGTGGAGATTGTGCTCGCACTTGTTGTAGATATGGTGGTCTATAGCTGAACCACCCGCCCAATGCTGATGATTTTTAAATCCTTGATTATTCTTAGAATAACCAATATACCAAACCAATAACAACTTTTAGTATTGATATTTAAAGAGCACCAATGTCTAAATTATAAGCATTTTCTCAGTGCAGCGAGTGAGAAACTAAGTGGATCAGAGGCAGGACAAATAAAAGGAGAGAAGGCCACGCAATGTAGCAGGGCGCATGAATCTCTAGAACTTGCTACAGCAACAGGCAGCTGGATCTCATGATCGTTGGAGTCTCCGTTGGATTGGAGGAGAAAGGTGTATCTGCTTCTTCCTTTTTACCTTACAGTTTTCAGAGCCTCGTTGGGTGGCAGATGTTCTTAGCAAAAAGCGTTGTGTAGCATTATGAGCTTTACTTAAATTCACTCTTTTGCAAAAAATATCTGTTCTCCTCTAGCTCAAGGCATGGTCGTAAACGCCAACACTTTTATCTCGGTTTATATACATGGTTTCTATTTGGTGATCTCACAAAAAAAGGTAAGTATAAAGGTTACACATGAATTGCAAGGGAAACAAGAGAAAGAGTCGCCTTTGGCAACTTAATAACATGGTAAAACAGCGCCTCTTCTCCAGGTTTATTGCTGGCGATGGCGGCTACAAAGCTTCAAATGTCTCTTGGATCTGGCTTGCGGGAGAGGAGGGACTCGGAGTGCACAAGTATTCTCCCCAGAAAGAATCAAAGAGGCTGAGGAGAGAGCTCGAGCCCTAAGGCAGCCAAGTTTGTGGAGCACGATTGCTTCTCACCGCGTGGTTTTGGAAAAGCTAAAGTCGATGGGCAACATGGAGTTGTCCAAAAGTGTGTACAAGCTCAACCCGTGATTGAGGAGCTAGTCTTTGGGAACGAATACTACTTTGCATTGGAGGGCGTGGTGAATGACTGCCCGGAGTACCTTGTGTTCTTCGACGCGTGGGAGAAGCTTACCAGTCTGGAGCTCGTCATGCATGCCAATTTCAAAGAGTTTGCTCTCAAGCACAAGCTGGGCAGGAAGATGGGCGACTTAAGGCGGAGGTTTTCCCCTTGTATTGCGTCTTTGCTTTCCGAAAGATGCCCGGTATTATGGCCGCGCAATCTCCGCCATGGCTGAGAAGGGTCAAGGGGTCGAATCCCTAGGCTACCTTTTCTTTAAGATTCTTAAAGGGCTTAAAGCCTAGTCGTTTATATTTTTATAGCATAAAATACTTAATACAAACCCACTTTAATGCTTGGAAATGTACACAATACAAATAAAAGAGAAATGGGTCATAGTTAGAACGCACACAGTTCTTTCTTCCTTCACTCATCGTCTTCCTCCTCTTCCTCCTGGAAATTCAGCCAAACCAGTCCACTCAGACCAGCTCCAAAAAAAAAAGGGGAATTTGCAAAAGAACTTACTTCACTCTGCATCTCCTCATCGTCGTCCTTGCCGTTTTCTTTCTCGTTCTTGGCATCTTCTTCCTGCTTAAGCCAAGATCGTCAGCCCCAAAGCAAAAAAGGAGAAAACAAAAACCTGTTTTTTCTTGTACTCGGTCAGTGTTTTCTCATAGTCGGCTTTCTTCTGCGCAGCTTTGTCGTGGTAAGGTTTTTTCTCCTGTTAAAACCGTAGTCGATCATAAAAGAACCAATTTTTTTTTCTTTTTCTTTTTCTTTTTGTGTGTACCTCTTCAGTGAGCCGTTTCCATGCATCACCTCCGGCCTTGCCAACCTGAGAGAAAAAAAACAAAAGAAACCATTAGAAACAATCTCAGTGTTTAAGAGAGCTTCTTACAGCTGCAACTCCTTTGATGTTGGGATGCTTGTCTTTAAAAGTCTTGCGATACTCCTCCCTGAAAGCCGTGCCATTAGAACAACCATCTTGAGCAAACCATGGAAACAAGAAAAACAGAGAGAAAAACTTGGAAGATAAAAAATCTCACAGGAAGACGAAGAAGGCCGTGGCTGGCCGCTTTGGCTGATTGGGATCAGCCGCGTTCTTCTTCTTGTCCTTCTTCTGCTTCTTCATTTCCTTGTCCTTCTTTGCGGCAAGCTTCTTCTCTATAGCCTTCCTGTTAAGACATAAAGAAACGTCAATGTTTTTAGAGATCCAAGCTTTTGACCCAAAAACTCACTCTTTCTCAGCCTTCTTCTGGGCCTTGGCATCGGCTGCCGCGGCCTTCTTCGACTTGGTGTCCTTCATCTTCTTCTGCTAACCTGTCAAAGTTAAACAAAACTTAAAGCCAGAAGAACAAAAAGAAAAAAAAAAAAAAAAACACAATTTTTCTAAAACAACTTCCAGATTTGAGACTTTCCACCACAGCCACTGAATGAAAAATGCAGCATGGCACTGAATCCTAGCACACCACTCTTATGACTAGAACTAGAAACCCAGAACTTCACAGCTTCTTCTTTCTCTACAATCTCTCACTCTTTCCCTCTACTTCTCCACAAACTCACCTTGTAGTCGCGAGCTCGAGGCCTGGAAAGCTCAGCCGCTGCTCCAATCCACCGACACAGAGCCACAAAACCTAGTCGCAGCGGCACCGCGAGGATCCAACACTCGACCCGACTCAAAGTTGGCAATCCGGAGCACAAGCCCGGAGCGGCAGCCTCGCAGCTCTAGGAGCTCAGCTCGGCCCTCTCGATCCCAAATGGACCTCTGGAGCTTCGCCCTCTCGAGCTCCACAGGCGCGCTCCTCCCTCGGGGAGGCTACTATTACACTTGACAAAAAAACACTTAAACTTGGCCAAAGGCAAAATACTCACAAGAGAGAACTCTCTTCACAAAGCCTCACACACAACACACAGAAGGGAAGAACAAGGCGGCCAGGGTTTCATTCAACGGGTATATCCTCTGGGGATATTCCTGGCGCCCCGGTCGTACGCGTGTACGGCGCTTGGGCCAGCCGCTTGGCGGGAAAGCGAGCGTCTCTCTCTTTCTCTCTCTCACTCCCTTTTTAAAAATCTCTGGCTGGCGCTGAAAGAGATGGAGCTGCGATGGATCGGACGATCGATCGGACGCAAGCATTTATGAGAATTGGGCATGGCGCGAGCAGGGAGGAGATCGAGGCTGCCGCGGCGGTGTCCAGTTTCGCGGATCTCGCGAAGGGCTGTGCTGCGAGGAGGGATTTGGGCGAGGCGCGGAGGATCTGCGCTGCGATTGTGGAGAGCGGGCTTGGGAGCGATGGGTATCTCGCGAATTTGCTCGTCCAGATGTTTGGGGGATGTGGGGATGTGGGTGCTGCCAGGGAGGTGTTTGATCGGATGGAGCGGCGGGATGTTTTCTCGTGGAATCTCATGATCCAGGCGTACGCGAGGAATGGGTTTCTTCAGGAGGCAAAGGCGGTGTTTGAGGAGATACCGTGCAGAGATCTCGTCTCGTGGAATTGCTTGATTGCGGCATTTGCCCAAAGCGGGCATTTGGATGAAGCTTATGAGCTATACATTGAGATGCCAGGCACGAATCTAATCACAGCGAACACTATGATCGCAATGTTTGTGCACAATAGCGATTTCACATCTGCTAAGATTGTTTTTGATCGAATGCCACTCAGAGATTTGTCATCGTGGAACTCCATGTTCCAAGCATTTGCCCAAGAAGGCCATCTTTCTCAAGCAAAATCAGTGTTTGATTCTATGCCGGAACGCAATGTGGTCTCTTGGACAGCCATGATTCTCGTGTTTGGCCAGATGGGGAATATTTCAGATGCCGTGAGAACATTCTCTCAAATGCCCACCAGGAACATTGTGTCATGGACTTCGCTCTACCAGGCTTACATCCTCAATGGGCATTTGGACGCGGCTAAGTCTACGTTTGATCAAATGCCGGAGTGGGATCTCGTCTCCTACACGTACATGATCGAAGCTTTCGCATCGAGCGGGAATCTGGAGCTCGCCAGAGGCCTGTTCGATCGAATTCCCGAGCAGAACATCGTTACTTTGGGAGGAATCCTCAAAGCTTACGTTGAGAGCGGGCATTTGGAGGAGGCCAAGGTTTTGTTCCAAGGAATGCCTGTGAGAAACATCGTGTGTTGCAATGCGATGATCGCGGCACTGGGTCAGACCGGGGATCTGCTCCAAGCTCGCGCGATCTTTGACGCTATGATCCAGAGAGACATCGTGTCTTGGAACTCGATGCTTGAGGCCTGTGGATCGAATGGCGATCTGGATCAAGTCATGGAGCTGCTATCTCGAATGCCCAAGTGTGATCTTGTCAGCTGGAACACTTTGATCGCAGCCCATGTCGAGAGAGGCCTCTTGATCGAGGCAAGGAAGTTCTTTGACGAGATGCCGATGAAGAACCTTGTGTGTTGGAACACTCTTCTCTCGGGGTACATTGCCAGGAACCTTGAAGAGGCGAAGTTTACGTTTGATAGCATGAAAGAATGGACTGTAATCTCGTGGACAACCATGGTGGCAGCGTTTAACCTCCATGGCTACGTTAACGAGGCAAAGCTGGTATTCACCCAAATGCCCGAGAGAGATATAGTGGCCTGGAATTCTATGGTGGCAGGATATGCCATGAATGGGAATCTCTCAGATGCCATAAGAACATCCAACGCAATGCCCGAGAGAGATCTAGATTCTTGGAACGCAAGAACTGTTCTATACTTTCAATCTGATGGCAATCAAGAGAGCGTTCTCGAGCAATTCCACTTGATGAAAATCCATGGTTCTCGTATAGACAAGACGAGTTTCATCAATGTTCTCACGGCTTGTAGCCACCATGGGGACGTGACTGCTGGATCATCAAATCTTTTATCAATGAGCTATGATCACGGCATTTCTCCCATTAGAGAGCACTACTGTTGCATGATTGACACCTTGGGACGAGCGGGCAAGCTTAGAGACGCTAGAGATTTGATCGAAAAGATGCCTTTTGAGCCAAGCTTAATCGCGTGGACAACACTATTCGCTGGCTGTAAGAATTTATAATTTTATAGTTATGCTTTAGATTCAATATTTTGGGTGCGCGGGTCGCTTCTGTGGGCGGGGATAACACGAACTGGGCCAAATGCCACGTGAATCAACAACAGCAGCTGCTCTAAATTTTGGCAATCTGCGACGGAAAGGTACAAATTGCCACGCGCACAAAAATCTGCTGCAATTTAACAATTGCAACTGTGTAAGTCTGTATACCAGAGAAATGCGTGAGCTCCCCTTGTTCTGAGTTGGAATTGAATTTTTGGAGCATTTAACTTCTGTAGGAGTTCCATCACTACAGTACATTCCATGTCTTTAAAATTGAGATTTCTCCCAGTAAACAAGATGCTATATATTAGGTTATATGTGGAAGTGTTATTGATTATAGATATAACTTTCATCCCAAGGATTTCTGTGTTTTGGAATTGGCTTGAGCTGAGTCGCGATAATCGGAGAGTTTCAACAAATCCCCTTACAAGGCATCTAGGGCTCCCTCAATAATTTCTCATTGTTATTAGTGTTGACTAGGGAAAGTTAATAGTCCCAAGTGATTTGTGAGTGCCTTAACACTGGTGTTGTGTTCTTTTGGCTGGGTTCTCTCTTGTGAGGCTTTTGTAAGTTTTGCTTGCACTATGGTGGCTCTTTTCGGGGTGCATGTGGGCAAGAATAAGAATAATGCTTGAGGCTTGATTGAGCCCTGCACTACCCTTCGCCAAAGAACTAGTTACATGTAGTAGCAACTAGTGAGGAATATCTGTGCAAGCCAAAGGGAGGCTCAAGCTCCTTAATTAGGGACTCTTCTCTTTGGTCAATAATAAGTTTTTCAAAAGTCAAGGGTCTTGGAATGACAAAATTAAGGTTACGCCAGAAAAATTAGGATTGGTCGTCAAAAGCAGTTGTATTTTATATGCTAAAATACAACTTAACTGGTTACATTTTGAAAAAATCATAATGGTAATCTACCAACTAATTTATTCTATTTTCATATTATTTCTTTTTGAAATTGAGAGTGCATCAATTGAATTTGGATTTAAAGGAAGCACAAATGATGTTGATATGAAAACAATTGTAAATTCTATAGATTTTATAATCTCAACTCTTAGTCAACAAGATGATTATCCAGAAAATTGGTCACATGCTATTACAATACCTTTATCATTAGGAATAGTAACCATAAAATTATCACGATTTATAGGAAGACCTCCAAATTGTGCATCAAGTGGAAGTACAAATAGAAGAATAAAAGGGGTAACTATGTATAATAGTTTTAAAAATTTATTAAATTACAATTCCCTTAAAATGATAGAAGCTGCTGCAAATTATGCAATATTAACCTCCATACAATATCAAATTTATTATAGTCGAGATGGCTCTTATGAATCAGAAATTTATAATATTCAAAGTGCACAATCTCTTGAGGATTGTAATATATTTAAAAGTACTTTATATAGTGGTTCTAAACATAAACCTCATCATACTTTATTTACAAATGACTATTTGATATCTCCAAATTCTAAAATTATTTTGTTTTTACATTTAAATTGCAATTTAGTTTTATATTCAGGAAAAACTAAGTTATGGCAAACTTTAACTATGAAAAAAACTATTACCCAATGTTACTTGAGATTACAAAATGATGGTAACTTGGTATTATATTCACAAATAAATATAGTAGAATGGTCTATAAATATATATTGTAAAAGTAAGGAGCAGTTAATTTGTATTTTACCAACTTTTCTTAGTTTACAAGATGATTGCAATTTAGTAATATATTCTTCAATATCACCGAATACACAGCTGTGGGCAACAAATACTATAAATAATAATAAATGTATTAAATAGTTTATCTTTTATTTTTAGAGTTTTTTTTATAAATTTATAAAATGAATAAATCTTATAGTTCCATGCACTAATTTTTATTTAAATTTAATACCAATTTGTTTTACTAATATATGTTTTTATTTAGACATACTTATAAGTAGCATAAAACAATAGAAATAATCAGCTAATATTTATGGAAGAATATTCATTTTCTAAGATGTAGCCTATTGTTTCAGAAATAAAAGTTCTAAGGCTATTATAGATTAAAGAAATTTTTTTTAATAGGAAACATGTAATTATAATAATTAACAGTAATTAAAAAAGATTGTAAGATTTTAAGACTCACAGGCCAATTCTCATATTAAAAATTTCATATAGAGTGAGGTAGTCAGCTATTTCTTCAATGAGTAGATTACATAAATCATACAAATACATATCTAAATCCTATCAATACTCTATAATTATGGTGTTTCTCACATTATTGTTGCATGATTGATATCTTGGGACAAGTAGATAAACTTAGAAGAAACTTGGGGTTTGCTAAGTGTAAGATATAATTTGTAGAATATACTATAGATCATAACACTTCTATATACTGGCCAAATAAAATTAAATAAATGTTTTAGAGTTGATAGAAAAATATAGAATGAATGGTAAAATACACTCACATAACCAAAATAAAAAGAATAAAAGGAAAAAAGCATGTTTTCAGATGGGATGAATTAGCCCTTTCACTTTTCTAAAAATTACCATAAGATCCTAGATGTGAAAACATACTAACTCTAATCAAAAGGGAATGCCAGCAAGCTGGTGAGCATCCTTATGTGGAACAATTCTAAGCTTCAAGATGTTTAACCCCTAGAAAGTAAAAAAAATGCTTAAGCTTGTTTCGATATTAGGGTTCGTCCATGGCCGGTGATTGCTGGGTCGCTTGTGTTGGCGGTGACAACACGAGCTGGGCCAGATGCCGCGTGAATCAGCGGCAGCAGCTGCTACATTGGGTGGAGGCGGGGCGAAATTTCTTCCACTGGCTTGTTGCGCCCGAGGAGGATCGGCGATGGAAAGGTGTGCATTTCGCCAGGATCGCTGGCGAAAAATCCCTGATCACCACCGGCGAGTCCCTGATTGCCACTGGCAAGTCCCTGATCGCCACTAGCGAGTCCCTTCCGCAAAATTCTAGCGCAATTCAACCGTTGCCACTGGATGATCACGATGTAAGTCTGTAAGTACCAGAGAGAAATGCGTCCTCTTCTCTCTATCGTTCTCACTTGGAATTAAACTTCCAGGAGCTACAACCGGATTTAACTTCGCTACAATCTCCTGTTACAAGAGAAGATCTGGGACGAGCTACATGGACTTTTCTTCACAGTCTCGCAGCTCAGGTATATTGGATCCCCCGAATTTCTTTGCTCTTCTGAACGAAAGTTTCTTTGGATTTGCAGTATCCAGATAAGCCAACACGACAGCAGCAAAAGGACGTGCGAGAGCTTATGGCGATCATCTCGAGAATGTATCCTTGCAAAGAATGCGCGGATCATTTCAAAGAAGTGCTCAAGTAAGCTAGAGCTTTTACTTCGCTGTTAAAAGTCTTTCTTTTTTTCTTTTTTCCTGTGTAGATCGAATCCTGTCCGCGCCAACTCTGGCGTGGATCTATCCCAGTGGATGTGTCGAGTACACAACATTGTCAATAGAAGGTAGAGAGTATCTGAAAGTTCTTGGTTTTGCATAACAATTTTGATGCGCACAGTCTTGGAAAGCCTCAATTTTCTTGCGAGCGTGTGGATGCGAGATGGGGTGCGCTCCACTGCGACGGCGCTTGTGATGTTCATGGCCGCCTACACAGCATGAAGAGTTGATCTTACGTCGCCCTGAGGTCTAGTATATCAAGCAAATGGTTTTCAATGTCTTTTGGAGAGCTCCAGAGATGGAGGTTGGCTTTGAAAATCTCACGATTGTTCTCTATGTGCTTTGCCAGGGGAAATCTATAGCCAGAAACGAGAAGGAAAGTTAAAGTATGAGCTGAGTTTTTCGATCAACTTACTCGACTCGAGCTAGAAGATGGTCATCTACTTTGAGCCGCAGAGAAGGGCAGATATCTCCTCGACCATCTCCAATGTAAACTACTCGATTTTCAGCTGGTTTGGAGCTGAGAATTCTATCGAGAATAAGACCCTGGAATTGAAAAAGAATTGGAAAACGAAGAAAGAACTTTGTATGTATTTAGGCCTACCTTGCACATATTTGGAGGACAAATCAAGCAACCATGAGGAACTTCGGAAGATTGATACGGCCGGACTCTAAGCAGGCCATGATCGTCAAGACTCGCGGGATTTGTGTGAATCTCGGAGAAGAATCGAGTGAGATTGAAGTTGTCGAGGATAGTTTGGATGAAAAGCGTGTTGGCATCGCTAATAATCTGAAGCTCGTATCTGCAAGACGTTGGATCTTAGAACTTATAGAGTGGATCAAGGCAAAGCTCTCGGAAGAACTAAGTTTATAAGAACGAATCTCACCCAGCTGCTGCTACTGCTCTGATGGCTCTCGACATGGAGGAATCGAGCGGGATCGTTCGCAAGCTCGCTTCGATCTCGGCTAGAGTTCTTCCTCGAGACATGATCTCCACCATCATAGTATCCTGCCAAGAACAAGTGAGGAAGTTCTTGACAGGAGAGAAGAAAGAATTCATCGTTACCATTAGATCCGTCCAAGGGAGACTTCTTCGCAAAGAACGCATTAGATCCGAAGCGCCCATTTGCTCCACCACGAATGTATCACTGTTACAATTGATGAGGCTCCAGTCGAAATCAAACACCACAATGGAGCTCGCCATGGCCTCGAGAGAAGCTCTCGAGAACTAGTCTCCTTAGATTATTCGAAGAGAATCTTCCTTCCTTATATTTGGGTTTAGGGTTTTTTGGGCATCAATGCTCGTTGCCGCCACTCCGGGATCGTTCGCGCTCTCCCGATTGCTCGCCGCGAGGCTGCATTGCGCGCGATTCGCACGGCGCTGCTCGATGTGCGCGCTGCCGGACGCTGCCGCGAGGAAGCGGAAGAGGATGGATGTCGAAATTCGCGACACGGTGAAGCTGAGCGCCGAGGAGGAGAAGATCTTTGACAGGCTCCTGGCGGTCGAGCGGCATTTCGGCCTTGGAACGCAGCTGCGCGTCGCCGGCGGATGGGTTCGTGACAAGGTGAGAGATTCTAGTCTCAAACGAAGAAAATTGGTTTGATTCTCGTGTTCTTCCAGCTCCTAGGGAAGGATTGCTACGATATCGATATTGCGCTGGACAACATGCTTGGTCGCGATTTCTGCGAGAAGGTGAACGAGTATTTGAAGAGCATTGGCGAGGAGACGAAGAACGTGGGAGTGATACTGAGGTAAGCGTCTATAAGTTTTTCATGGAGACAACCTTTCCTGTCCTTTTGTTTCCCTCCCAGCAATCCTGACCAGTCGAAGCATCTAGAGACTGCAAGAATGAAAATCGAAGATGTTTGGGTTGATTTCGTCAACCTTCGAGCAGAGACATATGCCGATGATAGCCGGATCCCTTCTACCATGGTAAGAATGCTGCTTTTCGAGTCCTTGTATCTTTTTCTTCTGGCTACAGGAATTTGGAACTCCAAAGCAGGACGCAGAGCGCAGGGACCTGACGATAAACAGGTAAACTTCGTCCCAACTTACAGCAACCTGACTTCCAATTTGGCAGTCTGTTCTACAACATCAACACTGGGCACGTTGAGGATCACACCGATAGAGGCAAGTGTGTTTTTAGCTGCAAAATCGGAAACTCCATTTATTCCCACTCTCAGGTCTTCGGGACTTAAAGGTCGGCGTAATCGCAACACCGCTTGAGCCACACGTAACCTTTCTCGACGATCCGCTGCGTGTCCTGAGATCTGTTCGATTTGGTAAGAACGTTGTTTGATACTTCAATATTTATCACAGGAAGCAATTGTTTTTCCAGCTTCACGCTTTGGTTTTGAGCTTGAAGACGATCTTCGGGCCGCGGCTTCCACGGGTGAAGTGAGGGATGCTCTCGAAAGAAAGATAAGCAGAGAAAGAATAGGCCATGAGGTATAGCCTTGAATCTCCCTATGAAACATCTCTGATATCTTTCGTTCGATTGAATCAGGTCGAGCTTATGCTTTTAGGCAATGATCCGACTCAGGCGATGGAACTCCTGCTTGACTTGAAGCTCTTTCGATCTGTTTTTACCCCACCGGCACCGTTGTTAGTAGATGGATGGGAGAGGTAGACCGTTCAATGGTTTTGGTGTTGTGCTTATTGGTTTACAATCTCCAGGTTGTGTGTGCAGCACATTCACGCTGCATGGGACGTTCTTCAGCTCGTCAATGTTAACCTGACCGTAAGCTCGATTAATTTTAAAGTCACATATCTGACTAGCAGCTTAACTGGCAGGCAGAGCATAAGTTGAAGTTCTTGCTAGCTGCCCTCCTCTTTCCATTACAGGATTCAACATACGAAGGAAAGAAGCGGAAGAAGGCTAGCAGCTATGCTCAAATAAGTCGTTTTACTGACTGTTCCAGCTTTGCAGTTTCCAAGCACAAGCTTCATCATACGAGAGTCTCTGAAACTTAAGAATGCTGATGCGGACGGAGTAGGTTCTTCATGTATATCGATATTTGCTACTAACACATTGTTTCAGGTTGTGGACTTGCATCGATCCGCCAGAAAGTTTGACAGGCTCGAGGATGTTCTTCTGTCAGATGCTGCTGAAGCAATTACCACTCATGCCGCCGCAGACACTCGGGAAGAAGTCCAAAGACTAGAAGCAGGTGACGCTTTTGCTTGGGTTTGTTCCTCATGCGCTGAGGATCGAATTTTTGTAGGATTGGAACTCATGGAAATCAAGGATTTGTGGCGGGCAGCGTTAGTACTCTCGTCACTCAACGACCTGCTAGAAAACCAAGCCTGGGATGCCCAAGAGAAAGCAAAGGTGTGCACTTCCGTCATGGACTTCATCTCGAAACAAGGTAAAGTGAACTTCATATGTAGTGAGCACGGTGCGACTGAAATATACAGGATTGGACGAGTCATGGAACACGAAGCCTCTTCTGGATGGAAAGGAAATAATGGCGGAGTTCCAGCTCAAGGGAGGCCCTGCCGTGAAGGACCTGGTAAGTGGATAGATTATTATGGTTTCCACTCATCTCTTCGACCAATGCAGAAGGACTTGTCAATCCAGTGGCAGCTCGCACACCCGACTGGAACAGCGGGAGAGTGTAGAGAGTGGCTCAAACTAGAACACGCGAAGGGAAACAAGTAATCTGCGCGATTCACCATCCAAGTGAGTGAAATTTTTTCCCAGTTTCGTGCTCAAGTTCTTTCCATTTCCCAGATTTTTGCAAAGAATACAACCATTGCTAGCTACCAAAGATTTAAATCAAGCCAGCGTCTCGTGAATAAACTGCGCGATATCACTCAAGCACTGGCGCGACGATTTGAGGCGATAGAAGATGTGGAAGACATGAACTCCACGCTTATACAAGAGAACCTTGACCTTCTTCCCGGCGGCGGCCATCCCTTGCGCGTAGCTCATCTGTGCGTCCTTGAGGAGATCATACTCGCCAACCAAAACCAAGCTTGGCGGGAGAGAAAGCGCCGTAATGTCCATCGATCGTGGGCCGAACACGTTGCAAATCGGGTGGTCGCGATCTTCCCCGTCGGGAAGATAGGCCCGCCAATACCAGTCGGTCATCTCCAGGTTGATTATGGGCCCATTCCGGAGGAGAATCTCCGAGGGGCTCCTCTCTTGGCTGCCAAAGAAGGGCTGGATGAGAATGCTACCTCTCACGCGCAGTGGATCCAGTAGGGCTTGCTCCTCGGCGATGGCGGCGCGGCACGCGACGAAGTGGGCGATGTTGCCGCCGGCCGAATCGCCGCTGAGGAAGCAGCGCGAGAGATCGGCCGAGGCTGGGAGGGCGTCCCTGGCTTCCTTGGATCGCAGCCATTTGAGGAAGTGGAAGCAAGAATCGTGCACGGCGGGGTAGCGATGCTCGGGCGCCAGCGGGTAATTCACCGAGACGACGATGCAGCGCGCGATCTTGGCGAGGCGGCGGCAGAAGATGTCGTAGAGGAGGAAATCCGGGCGGAGGACCGCGAATCCGCCGCCGTGGTAGTAGATCACGACGGGCAGCGACGCGGAGGAGCTAGGGCTCTTGGCGGCGTCGTCGGGGATGAAGAGCCTGGCCCAGCAAGAATCGCCCAGCGATGGCGCCGCGATGTCCCTGGTGGAGACGCCGTAGATGGGGATGGAGAGGGCGGGGAAGCGAATCTCCTCGATGCTGCCCAGCCAGCGGCGGATGGTGTAGTCGCTCCGGCGGATGAGCGCGTTGGCAGTCTTGATGAGGCCGGAGAGCAGGCGAAGCGAGAGCGGCAGGCGCGCGCCACCGCCGCCATCGCAGAGCGGCGCCGCCATAGCCAAGAGCTTCCAAGAGCTTCCAAAACTCGCGAGTCACGAACAAGGAAAAGGCCAAGAAGTAATGGACCTGGGCGGGATCATGGCAGTCGATTATTGCAAATTTTCGGCCACTTATCCGCGAGACTTGCCCGAAATGGAGATTAATTTTTCGCGTGTTCTTCGCTGGGGATTCTTCCATTCTCGCGGTGTTCTTTGCGAGTGTTCTTCGCGGGGGATTCTTTGCGAGTATACGTTCGCGACCAAGACGTAGGCGCGGGGGTCTCGCCCAAGAACGCGATTTGCCGCCGCGACAACGCTGCCAAGATCGTCCTGGCTCCGGCACGCCGCCAGAAAGCACGACCACTCCCACAGATCGGGCGCAAAGGGCATTGCTTTGATGAGATCCCTGGCGCTGGCCAGATGCCCCGCGCGGCAGAGGAGATCCACGACGCAGCAGTAGTGCTGCTTGGTGGGCGTGATCGCGAAATCGGTGGCGATGGAGCGGAATCGCGCGCCGCCCACCTCGGGATCGCCCAGATGCCCGCAAGCGATGAGCAGCGATGCGAGCGAGGTCTCGTCCGGGGGGAGGGATTCGAGGTTTAGATCGAAGAAGAGGGCGAGGACGTGATCGCTGTGGTGCCCGGTTTGGGCGTAGGCCGCGAGCATCGTCCCCCAGGAAGCGATGCTTCTCTCCGGCATTTGCGAGAAGAGATCTCGCGCTTGGTGCAAATGCCCTCTCTGAGCGAATGCGAGGAGGAGCTCGTTCCAGGAGATGAGATCTCTCTCCGGGATCGAGTCGAAGATCTTGGTGGCCGCCGGGAGATCGCAGGCGCGCGCGTAGGCGAGGAGGAGGGAGTTCCAGGCAATGGTGTCTCGCTCCGGCGCGGTGTCGAAGAATCTCTGGCATAGATCGGTGTCTCCGGCTCTGGCAAATCCCGCCAGGAGCGAGCTCCAGGAGATGAGATCCTTCTCCGGCAGGCGATCGAACAGGCACTTTGCTTCCTCGATCTGGCCGGATTGGGCGTGCGCGGCGATCATCGCGTTCCACGAGACGAGGCTCGAGAAGGGCATCGCGGCGAAGGTCTCGATCGATTTGGGCGTGTTTCCGGCGCTGGCGTAGGCGCAGAGCATCGCGTTCCAGGCGACGAGGTCGCGCTCGCGCATCACCGAGTGGAAGATCTCCTCGGCTCTGGCGATTTGGCCGCTGTGGGCGTAGCGCGCGAGCATCGCCGTCCAGGAGACGGTGTTGTGGATCGGCATTGCGTCGAAGATCTCTCTCGCAGCGTCGGGATTGGGAGAAGCTCCCAGGATCAGGGAGGAAGATACAACATCGTGTTGCGGCATTTGCGAGTAGAGTTCTTGAGCTTTCCCAAAATGCCCGCTTTGGGCATATGCATGGAGCATCACAGTCCAGGAGACGAGATTCACGAGCGGCATTGTATTGAAAATCTGTTTGACTTGCGTAGATCTCTCCTTTTGCGCGTAGAGATTCAGGATCGTGGTCCATGAAATGAGATCTTTGCCTGGCATTCGAGCGAAGAACTCATTGGTTTGCAGAAAATGCCCTGTTTGGGCATGTGCTGCAAGCATCGAGTTTAGCGCCACCATGTTCCACTCGGGCATCCCGTCGAAGATCGTCTTGGCCTCGGCGAAGAGCGCATTGCGAGCGTAGCACGAGATCATCAGCGCCCACGAGAAGCAATCCCGGTCTCGCGGATCGATTCGTGCGAAGACCGCCGCGGCATCGAGCGGGCTGCCGTGGCTGGCGTAGGCCTGGATGAGCTTGTTGAGGACGAAGAGATCCGGGCGATGGATCCGAGCGTGGATTGCTCGCAGCTCCGCGAGGCTGGCGCTGGCAGCGATGGCGCGCACGCATTGGGATCGTTGCTGGAGCGTAGAGGGCGCATTCATAGAAAATCAAGCTTAATCGTCGCTAGATCTGGCCGAGAAGCGCGAGATCCTCGTGTGGATTCGCTAGTCCCAATCACCAGTATAGTAGCTCTAGACTAAAGGCACTGCGTTTGTCTTCTTCATCGTTGTCAACTATCCTCGTTCTATTGCTGTGCTAGGTCTTTTATTTCGTTGTGGGAGACATGGCGCTCGACGACGGTCTCCCCTCGCGCAAGGAGCTCCGATTCGCTGTCAATGGCAAGCTCGTCGTCGTCCGGGACGCTGATCCGCGCGCCAGCCTCGGGGATTTCCTCCGCGATAATCTGCTGCTGCGAGGTTTGAAGATGCCGTGCCGGCAAGGGGGATGCGGCGCTTGCACCGTCGTGATTTCCTCGCCTAGATCGAGCGATGGGGTGCTGCTGCGGCACAGGCCGGTAAATTCGTGCCTCCGGACGCTCTGCTCGGTGGATGGGATGCTCGTCACGACTGTGGAGGGGATTGGGAGCTGCAAGGGTGGATTGCATCGCGTCCAGCAAGCGCTTGTCAAGCACAATGGCTCGCAGTGTGGATTTTGCACGCCTGGCTGGGTAAGCGACCACTCTACTAGTGACGTATGATTATCTTGGATTTTTCTCTCTTGTTCATCACAGGTGATGAATATGTATGGCTTGCTGCTTGAAACTCCAAATCCTCTGCCGCAGCAAGTGGAAGATCAGCTAGATGGAAATCTTTGCAGGTAAGGTGTTGTTCCTCCATTTTCCAAGATAGTTTCTTACGTGGGTTTTGTGTGAAGGTGTACTGGATATCGTCCCATTTTGGATGCTTTCCAGTCTCTCGCGTGTTCTTCCCGAGATGGATGCAGTGCAGGAGACATCGAAGAAGTACCAACGTGTAAGAACTTGGCTTCGCTTCGCCAAGACGACGAGCTCGAGATCAGCAAGGGTGGAGTGACGTGGTTCCGAGTCTCGTCCTTGACATCGCTGTACAAGGTTCTCAGGAACAATGCCGTTGGCGGCGTGCAGCTCGTTTGTGGGAACACGTCGAGTGGAGTTTATCCTCGACAGTTCAAGAGCGTTGTTGTGGACATCAGCTGCATTGACGAGATGCGGCGTGTTAGTATCGACAGTCGTGGCATCCGGCTCGGTGGCGCAGCTTCATTGAGCGATATGGAAGCAGTGCTGAATTCGAAGAAAGAAGTTTCTTCGAGCTATCGGTCGCTCTTGCAACACGTGAAACGGGTATGTTTCTTTCGATCATCTCTTTCCTCGTTCTAACCAAAGGTATGTTGTGGCACAGATCGCTACACATCAAGTTCGAAACATGGGAACTGTTGCTGGAAATCTCATGATGACGTATCAAAATCTGGGCTTCGTATCGGACGTAGCAGTCCTACTTTTTGCCGCTGAAGCAATTTTGACGATCGCTCTCTCCGATGCAGTTCGGAAAGATTTGACCATCGAAGACTTTTTCAAGCTCCCGAGCGTGGACGAGATTGTCATTGTGGAAATTTTTCTTCCTTTGCTACCAGAGAGTGTACGATTTCTCACCTATAAAGTTGCTCTCCGGCGAGTGAACTCTCATGCTCTACTGAACGCTGCATTCAGGTTCGACGTTAACAGTAGCAAAGGTAGGCAATTGTTTACTCCTATACTTCATACATCCCAACCATGGCTCCTGTCTCAGGCTTGATTCAAAGTGCTCCAGTCATTGTTTACGGAGGAGTTGGTCATTTCCCTGTCCGAGCTAAAAATGCAGAAGCTTTTCTGTGGGGAAAATCTTTCACGGATCCCCAGGTACTCCTCTGCTTTCTTCTATCTTTTCAGATTCGATTCTGTCCACAGGTTTGCGACAGTGCTCTCGAAATACTCCAGAAAGAGATTGTTATGGATCCTTCCTACGGAAACACAAGTTATCGCACATCTTTAGTGGCAGCATATTTCTACAAAGCGATATTGTCTTTGTGGCCTAAGGATCGCGTTCCCAGCACGTTGCAGTCGTCAATCTCAGAGGTTTCGGATGAAATGTCTATACCTTGCTGATTTATTCACGTCCTTAATTTTAAATATGCAGTTCTCCTGGCCAATTACGTCTGGAACAAAAAGCTTTGATAAGGTACACATGCTGGTCTTGTTAGCTTGTGCGTGATCTCGTGTTTGGATTTTAAATGACAGGGCGACCCCTCACAATATCCTGTCTCCAAACCTCTGCCTAAGTTATCTGCAATGTCACAGGTATTTTGCTCCAAAGGTTTTTTTGTTGTAATCCTTGTGCAATCCAGGCTTCAGGAGAACTGAAATATGTGAATGATTTCAACTTTGGGAACGAATTATATGCAACATATGTAATTTCTACGGTTGGAAATGCAAAAATAAAAGGCATAGATCCTGCGAGAGCACTCGCAGAAAACGGAGTGGTAACATTTATCTCAGCTGCAACTTTAGCGGGTGCTGGATACAACAACAAAGTGAAGTAAGTTCAGCTTTACGATTTCTCATGCTTTACGGAAGAGTCATGGTACAGTGAATTTGAAGAAGTGTTTGCTGCAAGCGACATTCTTTACTGTGGCCAAGCAGTGGGACTTGTTGTTGCGAAGTCGAAGGTGCCTTTCTTACTTCTTTTTTTTATCTAACAAAAAATTACCAGAGAGTGGCGGATTATGCTGCGACATTAGTTGACGTGCAGTATATGGATATCAAGAAACCAATTATTACAATAGAAGATGCTGTTTCTGCGAATTCTTTCTTTCATAACAAGGACAGAGAACTTGAATTTCAACAAGGTACACACACCACTTTTAAGTCGACTTACCTCTTTTGAATCATTCACAGGATCCGTTACGGAGGCATTTAGTGATTCGGAGGCAATTCTAATAGAGGGCCAGGTATTTGAGGATTGAGAAACTTGTCTGTGCCAAACTAAACGCATTACAACAGGTCAGCGTTGGCAATCAGTACCATTTCCATTTGGAGACCCAACAAGCAGTATGCGTTCCGTCAGAGGATGGTTTCATTGAAGTGTACTCGTCCACTCAAAATCCCTCGAAGGTATGTGATGCCATGATGCATTCTTATAACAAAATCAATTTGGAAGGTCCAAAGCTGCGTCAGTGCTGGACTCAATCGACCTCAACACAAAATTACGGTAAGTTTAACTTGTCTCCCTCTATTTCTTGTGAACTAGGTTTTTTTCTCAGGTATCTGTCAAGAGAATTGGAGGAGCATATGGGGCGAAAATCAACCGGTCATCGTTAATTGCAATGGCTTGTGCGTTTGCGGCAGACTTGCTCAAGAGGCCCGTACGACTTGTTCTGGATCTTAGCACCAACATGCAGGTTGACATTTTCAATTTACTAGTTTCTCCACTTAAAAATGCCACAGCTTGTAGGTGGTCGCAGTCCTTACTTTTGCAAATACAAGATCTCTGCAAGAAAAACTGGTCAAATCACTGGCGTGAAAATGGATATTATCAACAATCATGTGAGCTCTCAAAACTTGTCTCTATTTGTTTGATGTTTCAACCTGAACAGGGAGCTCACTTCGATTTTGGGTATCCAACTGGTTCCACGCTACCAAATTTTATAGATGGCGCTTACAAAATTCCGAACTGGGATCTGAAGACGAAAATTGCACGGACAAATACACCAGCTTGCACATATATGCGTGGCCCAGGTTTGCAAAAAAGTATTTTATTTTTTCTGAGATCCTTTTGCAGTTTTCGTTGAGACCACCACTATGATTGAAACGGCATTAGATCATGTTGCATTTACTCTACGCCTTGCTCGTGATCAAGTTCGCGAAATTAACATGTACGAGAAAGGCGACGTTTCTTTGAACGGGCAACGGCTTAACTATTGCAATGCAAAGTTAGTGTTTGACGCTATCAAGGTAAATGTTTCACTTTTTAATATTCTTTTTCTGGTGCATTACCTCTCGAGCTTTTAGGAGTCAAGTAACTATTTAATCCGTTCGAAGCAAGTGGACGAATATAATTCGAGCAACCTTTGGAGGAAGCGTGGAATATCAATTGTCCCTGTGAAGTTCATCGCAGAGTGGCATGGCGCCCAGCATCTTGCTCTAATCAATGTGCATCCGGATGGAAGCATCAGCATCCATCACTCTGGATGCGAGATGGGACAGGGCCTTGACGTGAAGGTTGCTCAGGTGTGTAACGTGTCGCTGTTTTGCTTTGTTTATCTCGTATGCTGGTTGGATTCTTTTCAGGTAGCAGCTATGACCCTTGGATCTCTGCAAGTAGATGTCTCAATGGAAGATATTGCTGTGCACACAACTACAACCACCGTCGCCAACAACGTCGCGGAAAGTGGTGGCTCCGTAGCTTCAGAGTTATGCGCAAAGGCCGTGCATGTAAGCTTTAAGAATTCACAGATCTGGATTTGTACTCACATATTCTCGCAGGATGGATGCACTCAACTCGTGGAACGTCTTCGTGCAGTGAAGACCATGTTGGTCTCGGGATCAAAGAGTTGCTCCTGGAAGGATCTCATCAGCGCTGCTGTGAGCTCTGGAGTTGACCTTCAAGCCCGCGGCCGCGTGTATCCCGCTGCCGCTGAAGACGGTCCTTCCCAGTAAGTGTTCCTTTTACTTCCCGAGTTTTGTGCTCTTACACACTTCCAAACAGATACACGTCGTTCGGAGCCGGCGTCACAGAAGTGGAAGTTGACATTCTGACGGGTCTGTATTTTGTGTATTTTGGTTAGTGGTGAGGTTATCGACTCATCACAAATTTGTCATTTTCTTCTTTTTTTTTCTCGTCCCGTTTCAGGAGAAACATTCGTGATCCGTGCGGATGTCTTACTCGATTGCGGGAAAAGCTTGAATCCGGCCGTTGACATTGGCCAAGTAAGACTTCTACAGCGCTAGCACTGGAATTAACAAGTAGCTTCCACAGGTTCAAGGCGCTTTTATTCAAGGACTCGGCTACTTCCTTACAGAAGAATTCCACTATGATCCTTCCACGGGCAAGGTAATCATTAGTTTCCACTGTTTTCCTCGTTTCTTATTCTTAGTTCTTGAATTATTTTTTTCCAGCTTCTAACTGATGGAACTTGGGAGTATAAGCCACCATTTGCCAGGGACATTCCATACGAATTCAACACCGCTCTCCTCCCTAACAGTGAAAATCCTTCCGGCTTCCTTCGCTCAAAGGTACAAAACATTGTCAAACTCACTTGTTGCTAACTTGGAAGTGTCTCTAGTTCTCTGGAGAACCTCCTTATGGCACGGCTTGCAGGCAAGTTTCTCACAATCTTCAAAGAGAAAACTTTTGAGTTTGAGCTGACAAAGTCTTTGCAAATTGCTGTTTGCAGTGCCTTGCTAGCAGTGTCCCAAGCTCTGGCAGCCGCAAGATCGCAGTGGAATGGCGGCAATGGATGGTCTCCTCTCAGCTCTCCAGCAACGCCACAAAACGTAGCCCTCGCGGCCGAGTTTCCACTCTCGTCAGTGAGCTTTCGAGAGCTGTTTTCAATGAATAAATGAAGAACCCTAAAAACAGGGGAAGGCTTTTGTTTTAGGGTTTATGCTTGAGGGAGAAGAATGCTCGCGGCGATTCCATCCAGCCAGGATCGTCAATCCAGGTGAAAATGCAGCGTGTCGCGGCGCTAGCGCCGTGCCGCGCTCGCAATTATCAATCAAAGAGCGCGCGAGTCGCGACATTCTTCTTCTGGGAGTCGCGATCCACAGGTATCTATGCAAGTGGTAGTAAGATATTTATATGATTGGAAGGTATACATTATAGGGACGAGAGGATAGATTTCTCACATCTATTCGCAAGCTCCCCGTGTTAAACACACTCTCGGGAGAAAAACAAAGGGGCAGGGAAAGAAAATATCAGCGCAACTTTACTATAGTACATAGCAGGAAAATGGCCGGGTCGACTCTCACACGTCGATCACTGTGCCTTGACTCGCTGTTGCAGTAGATACTTCTCAACGTACAGCTTCCTGGAAAACAAAGAAGCGGTTTGGAAGATCTGTTCGGCTAGATTTTGTGCAAGTTTGGGTTACCTGGCTGCACTGTCGTCTGATCGCTGGTGCTGTGTTCTTACAGGATTTTCCGTGAACAGCAGCAGTGCCTGGAGAGAAGAAGAAGAACGAGAACGAGAAACGATCAGCCGTAAGAACTTTGAAATCGTTGGGTGTTTGGAGGCCTACCTTGATGTAATCGTTTGTGTCCAGAGTGAACCTGTGGTACATGCCGGGAGGGAGAACAACGAGGTCGCCTTTCTGGACGTAAAAGCGGATCCATTTGTCGTCGTAATCTCTGATATCCCAGTATCCTGCAAAAACAAGAGTTATTGAGTTTCGCTGAGCTCTCTGTGCTTTTCCAGAGCTTTGTACCGCTGCCATCGAGAATGAGACGGCTCTCCTCCTGGGAGTGCATGTGTTCCTTGAAGAAACCTTTCACTCTGGCGTCGAAGTCGACCATCGCTTCTCGAGAAACCGTTATGACTTCCTGCAACGAGATTGTCAAACATTGATGGATCGAAAGGAAAAAGCAAGTAGAGAACGATGGCGGCGTGGCTACGTACGGAGTATTTGTAGCCGCGGTCGCTCCTTATGTTCTTCAGCTCGGTGTCGGACTCCCAATTATCAACATCTAGCTTCCAGGTGAGAATTCCCAGGCCTGTGAAGAACCAGAAAATTTTTAACGCGTTAGCTTCTCTCCTTTGCAGATATGCTACTTTCAAGACTACCATGCACATGAGAGAGAGGGATGGCGCGGTTTGGATGATACTTGTGAGCAAGCTTTTCGTTTTCGTCGGTGCTGTTGTACTCCCAGGCTTGAATCTCCGACTAAACAATCCCCCAGACAAGAGTCAGCTGCAATTCGAAGGTAGAAAAACACAAGAGCTTACTTTCGATGCTTCCATTCTGGCTTCTGTGCAGAAGAGAAGAGCAGGAGAGGAAATATATTTTGAAGATCGTGGAGGGGAAGCAGCAGATCGAGACAAAGGTGGAGTGACAAGTCGGAGGAGCTTAAACAGTGGTGCGGCCTAGTTGACTTGCTCGAGGTGGGACTTTTTCTTCCTCGCCGCTCACATTGTGTCTTCTTTTATAGATGGCTTTAACCCTCGGCCAGGAACACAAGAAAAGCTCAAGAGGAAGGGGAAGACCGGTGACTGGTCCAGTGAGGGCCCCAAGGACGAGCATAAGATAACACTTCGCACCAGTGCTGCTATGACTAGTGCTAGCCGCAATGCTGGGATTTAAATGCGGGAACGAGCAAAGCACAGTAGCTACCAGCAGCAGCAGCAGAAAGAGAAAGAAAAGCAACATCTATGGTCCGGTCGCGAGCAGGAGTAGTTTGCTCTTCGCTGATTCCGAGGAAAGTTATGGAAACAGGAATGGAAGTGATGGAGACGGACGGAAAGAAGACGGGAAAAAAGTAAAAACAAAACGAAGCAGAGTGGAGGTGACTTTAAAACTCGCGACGAAACGAAGAAGGCTGAAGAGAGGAAAGCAAAACCGACATGCAAGCTTAAGTTTCGACGTAGAAAAGGGAAGTAGTGGCTGCTGCCGGTGCCGGTGCTGCTTCACGTCAAGCAACTGATATAACGGAAAAACGAACAGAATTGGAGCAAATGGCTGGAAGAAAACAAAGAGCTGGAAATGGAGGCAGGTTGGAGCGAGACGGTGCGAGCGAGTAGCATGGCGTCACGTGGGTGGATTCAATGGCCTCGCTGCATGCACATTAAATGCTCGCCAACACGCTGCTGCTGCTGCAACTTGGATCGATCGGCTGTTTGGTGGTGCGAGCGAGCTTTCCTTCTCGGACATGCTACAAACCATCAGGTACAAAGATCGCTTCTGCTTCTGCTTTTCATGTCATGCATTGATTCTCGGACGGTTGAGGCTTTTGCCCGTGGTCTTTTTGTGTTCTTTTATTGGCTTGAACGCTTCATTTAAGTATCGTGCCTGCGTTTCTTTACTCTTTCCCCTGGCATGTTTTTGTACCATGATGGCTTCTCATTGCTTGCATTTGCAGGACAAGGGAGAGCTTCTTTTTCCCAGAGGGAGACTACTATAGCACTATCAATTCAAGTAAAACGGTACTTGGTCTCCTGAGTAGCCGGAGTTGAGTGCTGATTTCGATGTGGTCCTTTTCCAGGAGCCGTCGCAAAACGTCGCAGGATCTAGCGGGGTACTGGGAGTCGGCTGCCAGTTTCTACGATGCCACGCGATGTGATTGTACGAGAATCACGCTGGACAAGATCTGCGCGAACGAAAAGAGCAGGCGATTGATTTTCCAAGCCTGAAACTCCGAGAGAAACAGCATGAGAAAGTCTATGTTTGTCCCCCATGTGAGATTAGCATGTGGAACCGAGCGCTCACATGTTTGTGCTCGGCTTTCTATGCCGGTTATATTCTTTGGATCGGCATTGGGTGGCACGTATACGAGCGACGATTCGGCTTACGTACGGATCTGGTGCTTAAGTACACGAAACTAAGGAAAGATTCTACGACGGAGTCGAAGTTTACCTCGAAAGTATATGGCACGGCTTGCCAAAATAGCTATTTGCATGGCTTAAACCCCTGGAACTCCTACAAAACGCTCGCGTGAATTAAAGCCTCGCCAACACGAACTCGAAAGGGTTGATATTATAGACTCTTTGTGATTCGAGGGGAACTTATCATCACACCACCTATAGAGCATGCTTTTTTCTAGTTCTAGATTATATGAGCCAAATTCTGGTTTGGTTTTCGGGAAAAGCTTTGATGTTTTTCGTGATACTTGCAATAAATATCTAGATATGTGCATGTATTAAAATTGAATGAAGTCATGTTGTGAGGAGTCATAGTTCAATAGTTTAGGAATTGTTTGGATTTAGTGGAAAGTCAGAAGCTACATGAAACTACCGACCATGGGCACCAGGATGAGGTTTCTTACAGTGTGATTGAGATGGGGTGTTTGGAAGAAAGGAAATGCAGGAGTTGAAGTGGCAGTTACCTGCATGATGTTTCAAGTATGGTGGTGTCAAGTCTTCCTAGAAGACTTGACAAACTGAAAGGGAAAAAGATCATGGCAAGCAGCAGATGACTTTATTGTTTGCTGGGCCTGCAATCAAGTCTTCTAGGAATGAACTCACATGCAAGTTCAAGTCAAGAAGATTTTCTCTCTTTTTTTTTTGGTTTTCTTTTCTCTTCTATAAAAATAGTAGGATTCTAACATGAAGCCTCAGAGAAACAGCAGAGGAAGTGTGTGTGTGCCACGATCCTTCCTAAAAGTAGTTGTTTATCTTTCAGTAAAAGAATGTTGATGTTTATCTTAGCCCATAAGTTTTGAGTTGAGAGTGTCCACGGCTTGAAATGTGCCACCGCCTTCACTTTGCTGACAAGAAAAAGAGAGCAAACCATGTAAATGGTGTTCATTTGTACTTAGACTTACTGCGTAGAAATTCACTGCTAGGAAGTTTGCATATCGATTTCCAGATGATTTCGCGCAAACGTCGAGCATTGCTCGAAGGGACTGGCCGTGATCTTTGCATTCCCTCGGTTCAAACGGAGTTGTGGGGAAATAGTTCTCAACGAAAAGTGAAACTGAGCGAGAAGCTAAAGGTGGCGATTCATCACGATTTCTACAACTCCCATTTTTCATCCCATCGTCCCCATCTACACAAATCACAAGTTTAATTATGGCTCCACAGGAAAAGAGATGCTGCAAGCTTACATTGATTTTCAGACGTGTATCTCCATTGGTAAGCGATGCCTTCGGTGGCTTCTTTAGCCTGTGACGAGGTGAACACGAGCAATCTCTGGTTGCTTGCAATCATGTCCGCTAGAGTTGGCCAATTTCCACCCGACTTTGGCATCTTTGAGACTGGGAACCAAAACTTGTCAAGCCCGGCCGCCTTGAAGACGTTGGTCACATCATTTTGGGTGCGAACATAATCTTCAATGAAGATGGTGATAACTTCTCTAGGATTTGCTGCTAGAAAAGCCTCAACCTCGCGCAGCGTCTCTACTGCCGGTTGCTAAAGGAAAGAAAGCAAGAAAAATGTAAAACAAAGGTCCAGAGGCAGCTTAGACTTACAAAAGCCGTGAAATCATAGCATATCCCTCCAAAAGAATGGCAGAGCCAAATATCATTTTTAAAGTCGTATAAATCCAGCATCAAACCCCTCACTCCATTCTGCACAGTGGCAAAAAAAAAATAGCTTCAACATTTCAGAGGATATTGAGCGAACCTGCAGCTGACTCGTGACGGTATCATCCTGGTTAGTGGGAGCAAATCTGGGGACTGGAAATCTTTGCTTCTCAGTTGAGATTGCAAAAGAATTATGGGTGGTAAGCCATGCATACTTGTTGAATGGCAGATCTGTTCGAGCCTTTGAAAAAGTAAAAAGAAATGAAAGCGTTATGGAAGTTCTAGCTAGCCAGGAACGCGTAGAATACCAGCAGCGTTGCATTAGAGCGTATGCAAATGGGTTCTATGATTCCCGCGGCTGGGCAGGAGCTACAGTGAAGACCAGTGGCACAGTCCTCGTTATTGAGGCATCTCTCTCCAATCTTGCAGGAAGGATAAAGATGGGAAAAGTTTGCATGAAAACGGATACATAGGATAGAACAATTTACCTTGCATGAGTGATTTGAGCATGCTTGGGCGCCAAGGAGGGAGAGGAGGAGGACCAATGGCAGCATTTCCTCAGCCATGAATTTGGTTCTAGGTTAACTCCCCCCGCGTAGAAAAATGCCGTCGTTAGACTACACGACAATCATCTTGGACCAACAAACGAGGTTTTAATATGCTTTCTTAAATTTAATCTTAAAGAAAATATTCTTCGTATCTGCTATTTGTATTATAGATAATTATTGGCATATTTCATAGACTTTACTTTCATATTCAGCATTGAGTATCAAACTCATTAATTATCAGTTATACCTCATAGTTTAGTCCCAGTTTAGTCACAACTATTAGAAAGTTTATCCTGGGTGCCATAAGATTTATTATAAACAATATACAATATTTTTGGTTTGTTTAAGCAAGGACTTAGAATAAATTTTAATATTATATGATTTTACCATTTAACAGTTGTTATTTATTTAATAAAGCTTATATTTTTAATTTATAAATATGTTTAATTTATAAATGTTCCTAAATCCTTTCTATTTTATTTTAGAAACTAAGTGTAATATGATTAATATTATTTTTATAAATTATAAATATGTTTAAGAGTTAAATTTTTGGGCTATAGTTAATGTTCCTAGTTTCTTACTCAAAATAAATTGCTATGCATTGCATGTAGCAATGTTTGGTTTGCTTAATAGTAAATGTTATTTTTACTTATTAATCCAATTGATCAAATAAAGTTTATAATTATAAGCATGTTGTAATTTATAAATACAAGGTTAATCTTATTGCATATCAACCATTAGATGATAGAATAAACATAATATACTAGAAAGGGTTTTAAAAAGAAATACAAGATTAATCTAAATGAATAACAACTGTTAGATGGTAGAACATCCTAGAATATTCAAGTATATTTTAGGTATATCCACTACCAACAAGTTTGCTTAAGCAAACCAAAAATGTTGTTACATAGTTATTAATTATGAAGTATACTAAACTCATTCCTTAGAGAAAAATATGACTTATCTATAAATATGTGATAAATACTCATCCACTCCAGCTTCATATCAACCTAAAAATTTATCTACTTATTAATTTTTATAAAAGCTGTATCTCTAAATAAATTAATTATAAGTATAAGTGTAGAAATGAATATAGAAATGTGCATACTTGATTACCTCAAAACCCTTAGCATATATGCAGCCCCTAGTTATTAAAATCTCACTATTGGAAGCTATTGAGACTAGACAGTAAATAAATATAACTCATTTTGCTTATAATAGATTTATGGTTGAAATAAAAAATGTTACCTTATAGGTAGTGAATATGGGAGTTTTCATCTTTTTGTGGCACATCTACAAGCATTACACAACTTAAGAGAATATTGTGCCTCACATTGCCATTGAGCCACCACCTTCAGTATCTCTTTCGAGGGAAATAACTAGGGATGTGGATGTAAAGGAAAATCCTGATGATATAGATTAAAGCAAAGAAAATTTTCCCCTTAAAAAGAAATTCTACTTAGATTTGAAAATTCAAGCTACAAGACCTCCAAAGTTTGTTCCGCAAAAATCTAGTAGCCAAGGATGCCATGGAAAAGCTGGATGCAGCAACTATAGTGATAAAACACCACACTTGGATTAGGAATAGAGTCGTGACTTGTCTATATTTACAAAGACAACTCCAATGCTTATACAAATCTCTTCAAGTATTAGGGAAGTGATGAATACACAAATGGATAACACTAGGCAAATGATGGATGTCGAAGTTATGGAAAAAATTTCACAATTTAGGCTATAAAGTCCAACATATGATACGTTTACTAATGTTGCAAAACCTTTGGTTGTAGATACAGCCAATGAAGCAAGTTTAGGCCAAAAAATATCATGGCCAAAAAACTCAATAGGACAAAGAGGATGAGGCTAGTTTAGATGAATTAAAGGAGTATGAGCTAAGACTTATTAAGTCCACCTATGCATCCAACAGTGATACACCATTGGCTAATCAGTCTAGCAAGATGAGGTAGCCACAACAGCAGCAGATGCTGCAACAGCACTACAAGGTCAAGGGTAGTTGCACCTTCACTCATAAGACCACGAGTTAGTTGAGCGAGCTAGTAGTATGAAACTTTATAAAAGAGCTTGCTCAACACATCAAAGGAGGAGGCAAGCAACCAGTTAACAAGCTAAAATAACCAATAGAAGATGAAGAAACAACAAAATATCGTATGCAAATCTTAAGTTACTTCAAGACAATCACTAAGAAAGTGGATGATTGAGTCTTGAATTTCCTTGCCTTGTGCTTCATGATCTTCGTTGTTGGTTGTTTCTTTGACAGCTTTTCTGCTTTTACATGTAGATGTTGCTTTAGCATTGTGTGTGGATGGTATTGTCTCAACTAATGCTCTTCATCTTTTTGTTGGTGGAGTCAATGTTGGTGATGACTCTTCTTCTTCATCTTCTTTTTAACTTGCTTCATTATCTTTATCTTCTTTGCCATCATCACAAAGGAGGATGAAATCTTCTCTCCTTTTTGAAGTGTATTCCCTTTTCCTTTATGTTCATGGTGTTTTTGTGTTTGTGGATTTGCTTAGTCTTTTGTTGCTGTCATATGTTGCTGTCTCTTGATTTGTAGTGGAATGGCGATGTCAAGCTTTAGGATGAGTGCTGCAATGTAGGGAAGTGCGAGTGTTCACATTTGAGGCTGTCTTGGATCATTGTTATTGTGACGTGGAGTTCTTTGATGAGCTTGTCATGGATGGGTCTTCCATTGCAAGTTGTTGTAGAGAATTGCAATTGCTTTGCAGGTGGAAGTCATGGACTTCCACATCTCTAGTGTCAAGATTAAAAACTTGAGTTGTAGCTTGGCTTCATTGATCACATTGCTCATTTATAGAGAATTTCCATTGTTGTAGTTCTCAAGTACCTTGATACACTTCAGTGGAATCCCCTTTGTGGGAATCGATGTCACTTGCTCTCCACCAGTGGGAATTTTGAATGCCTATGTGAAGTACTTAGTGCTCAAGATAAATTTGTAGTCGTTGGTGTGCATAAAGTCTTCATTGTATACTAAAAGAATCTTCTTAGTGATGCTAATGTCATATTACTTTTCCATGATTTTGGAGAATTTATAAAGCCTAACTTTGTGTAGCCAAGTGTTGAGCTCTTCAATCCTCTTTCAAGTAGGATTGTAAGGTGAGAGGAGACTCATCTTAATTGTGCTGACTGCCTTGGGATTAAAGATGAACTTTTTGGTGATATTGTGTGCTTGTGTGCCCCGCTTTCCCATTTTAGTTTTCTTGATCTTAGTGTGCAATATTATAGTTGAAGGCACTAGGGTTAAGAATTTCACCCTTTCACCAAACTTAACTACATGTCGAGTGGTTTAGGTTTAATTCTTTAGCTTGAATTTTCTCTTGTTTTCTTGTTGGACCTTGTTTTCTCTTGATCTTGTATGTATTTATTGTTGAATCATAGTGGATTGTGATGATTATTGATTATAGTGGTATCTTTTCTTGATTTCTTGAAGTTAGAGTTTGAAAATTTTATTTGAGTTGAGTTTTCGAGCTTAATTTTCGAGAGTTTTCTTGAAGTTGTCTTCTTGTGTTTGATTGTTGAAGTTTTTCTTTAAGTTGATTTCTTGAGTTTGGATCTTGAGCTTGATTTCTTAAGATTTCTTTAAACTGATTTGCCTTTTTATTGGAATTTTGAGTTTTATGTTGTAATTCCTTGAATTTTTGAGTGTCATGTTCGTGATTTTATTCAATATTGGATTTTTGAGTCTCAAAGTTGTACTCTTCAGTTCTTCCTAGATCATTATTAATAAGATTAGTGTCAATCAATTGATATTTCTTGAGCTCGTTAAGGTTAATGTTTTAGAAATATTCATTGTCAAGTGTTATAATTACTACCATTTCTAGAGCTTTGACCTCACATCATCCCTTCCTCTCAGAAAGATGAAAGATAGTTAGGTTTTTTTGTTGATAGGTTGAGATTTGAAAGAACATTAAGAAAAAGCACTAATTTATATATAGTGCAACTAAGTTATTAAATGTCGTGTTGACCCTTATAAACTTGTCTAACTTATCATAATACTTGATACAATCCTTTTCCTTGAGCAAAGAGCCCCTTAAACAAAACACATACTATAAATTAAGAAAATAAACTAACACTAAATCATTTACTTTATACTCTATAAATAGACACTTTCTATTGTCTCACTCATATCAAGCCTAAGTATTTAATAAACTTCATTTGAACCAATGGAAGAATACTTATTAAATATTGATTTTAAAACTTAGTATCATAAGTTATGGCAATTGCACTTAACTTGTATTGACCAACACAAAAAAAAACTAAGGATCTTTTGTTATAAACCAGATCTTGAAAAATAAACACTAAATAAACTGATGTTAAATAAACCCTTTGATAGTGTTTCCAAAAGAATGATAAAGAAGGCCCTTTCACTACTTGTATAACTCCTCATTTTCTGGAAGAATCTCATAAAAACTTTTCACTAGCATCAATAACATATTGTTGATGCCAAGGCTTCCATTTAAAAAATAAAGGATGCTAATTAAGGAAATGCTAACAGTGTTAATAATATTTAGCTAACTTAGGAATAAATATCACAACAACAACCATATTCTTGCTTTTAAATACAGGCAACAATAGCATTAGCCTTTATTAGAACAAAAAAAATTCTTGTAGAAAATAGACTTGAAAAGTGATGTTTTATAGTATTGTGTCAGTTGAAGAATATTGTTAAAGATAGTTGGAGTAGGTGTATGTACAAATCTTATAAAATCTTGACAAAATGTTAATCATAACATATTCAACTTGATATGTTTTAACATATTTTGCTTGCATAAAGTAAAAGACTTTAAAAGTGAATATTAAATTGCATAAGTAACTTGAGTGGCCTCTAACAAAGACAATGCAATTGGTAAAATGCATTATCATAGTTGTCAACATGGCCAAATGCACACTTGAATATGTTCGGGAAAAAACTTTAATCTGTACAAATAATTGCATTCAAACTATTATACCATTGCAATATTATTCCTTAAATATGTGGGAAACTTGCATAGACACTAAACATCATCCCAAGAATGATAGGTGGCAATGGTTATAAAGTGATCGAACCAATAGTACACATTATCCTTAAGATTCCCATTTAAAGAAATCCAATCATATGTGCAACAAAAGTAGAAGGAATTACACAACATGTTATAAATACCACCATTAACTGAGCTTGATTTGCATAACATCGAGAAATTGCATTAATCATTATTTTAGAGTTAAAGGAGGAGAAAAAGGTTGTTACAAAGGAGCAATATGCTATTTTTCTATAAAGATATAGCAAGAAGAAAATAAAAACAAAAGAGAAGAAATGAAAAGTTATAGAAATAAAGAAGATTTAGACAATACAAAAGTTAAATCTAAATAAAAAGCACAAATCCAAACATTCTTTTGGGATAATAAAATTTGCCTCTCACTTCCATCAATATGAATGTATGTAATATATAAATGGAATATATAAATATACATATTCAATTATATTAGTTTTTGGATTGAAATCAATCTAATAGTTCAAAATCCCAATAGTATATGGCATCCTAGCCATATATTTAGATCTCACATAATTTTAATGTTTTCTAGATATTATTATTTATTATTGGATAATATAAATATTTATTTATTTATAAATTAATTTAAACTCCCAAATTTGATATGTTTGAAGTAAGGATTTTAAATAAACTTTTAAAAAATTATAATATAAATAATATAAGTAAATATTAATTAATAACTTTTCCATCAGTTATTTTTTATGCCACCTAATGAATATTTGTATTCATATTTATAGTAATCCAAAAAATGTATAGCTTCACTCACCTTTGTGATTTAATTTTATGGCAGGTTTTATTAAAATAATTATGGTTTTAAACATTCAAATACATGTAAGAGAATATCCAAGCGCCGTTTAGGGTTTAGGGTTCTTCCTAAATGCAGGAGGCATAGCTCTGGCCTCTTCCACATGCCCTCTGCGCACCGCGCGAGCGATCGCAGGGGACATGTGGAGGATGCAAGATGTATGCCTGTTCCGCGAGCCTTCTATTGCACTTCTCAAGGTATTCTAGATACAGTGATCTTAGAAAAGCTCTACTTGTAGCTTGATTCAAGGGGAAAACTCCAGACCCTCTCCTCTTCACGGTTGCCAAAGTTGAGACGGCGAGCAGTCACCTCGATCATGGACCTCCCAAAGAACATACTCACTAGCACCGCCCGCCCTCGTCCCAGCTCCACGCCACTCGACACATCGATCTCGAAGCTCTCCTCCAGTGTGCTGCCCACCTCGGTCACAAACCTGGGATGATCTTTGATCGAGGTGTAGAGCTCCAGCCTGACCTTCTCCTGCTTGCTCCCGACTGGAGAAATGATCCTCTCGACCTTGGAGTCTTGAGGAACCGGCTGGTTCTTCCGGACGAAAACCAGGAAATTATTCTCACAGCACAGGTGGCCATCTTCGTCCACGAGCATATACTGGAGAGGATCTCCGACCTCGAAAGGACGAATGGAGCTCATGCCGTAAGTCTTCCTAGAGATCCTCGACAGGACGAGGCGATCGTCAAAGCCCAGCATCACAGCTCCATTGCAGATGGCGCTTCCAGGATTTGGAGGCACGAAAACCTTCGCGACTCTCTCTTTGAACGCCTCCCTGACTCGCGTGACGAGGTAGGGGTTGTTCGCGAATCCACCGACGAGGAAGATGTATCTCACCTTGTCCGAGCTCCCGTCCAGCTGCTGCGAGATGAGATGGACGATCTTGTCGACCTCGGGATCAAACACGGCCTTGATATCGGCGGCGTTAACCTTGAGCTCATCGTACTCGCCATAGTCTCGTTCCACTCCAAGCTTTTCGTCGTGCTTCCTCCACGCTTTGGAGAGCTTGCCGGGGATGGTCCAGGTGCTGGCAAAGTCCGGCGAGCCATCGAAGGAGCACTTGACTTGGAACCACCATTTCGTGAGCTGCATTCGATTCTTGGCGAGCTTTACAAACTCCGGCAGGCATCCAATCTTCTCCGCGAGGAAGCTCATCATCTTCTCGTCCACGAACGTTGCGCCACCTATGGCACCCGAGCAAGCGCTAGTCTCGCGGACCTTGACACCGTTTTGGAACGCTCGGGTGTGGACGACCGTGTCGATGGTTCCACCACCGACGTCGGCAACCAGGAAAGTATCGTTTCTCTTGAACTTGAGCGAGTCTATGAGCTTTGTCTGGCAGTAGAAGGACGCGGCTTCCGGCTCGAGGATGATCTTGACGGGAAAGTCAGCGCTGCTGATCCCTGCTGCCTCGGCAAAGGTACGCATCTTTTCTTTGGCAGCGTCGTCCCACAGGGCCGGAACCGTGAGGCACCACTGGACTTCTTCCTCACGGAAGAAGCTCTTATAGAGTTCTTTGAGCTGGAGCTTGGCAAAGGAAGAGATGCAACGGAGATAATCGACTGTTACTTTCTCCACGCTGAGACCACGATGAAGAAGAAACCATGGAGGAAGAGGAGGAGGAGAAGAAGAAGGTTGTGCCGGAGCTAGATGCAGCTTAAACTTGGTGACGAAGATGCTGCCCGAGTTGTGACGCTCGGCGTCGTGTCCCCAGTGCTGGAGCTCGAGAAATGGAGCGGACGAAGGCGATGGCGAGGAGGTTGAGTAGAGCAAGCTGGTTTGCGTCTTGCAATACGGCTTCGCCCCGACTTCTCTCTCGCTGGGCCATTCGTAGAAGGAGTGGATGTCGGATGGATTGGACCTGTGAGCAAAGGCGAATCCGGAGAAAGTAGTGCCGAAGTCGAGACCCACGACGTATTTTGGAGTGCTCATCGCGATTGTAGGGAACTTTGGACGCAAGAGAAAAGGATAGCACTGCTTATAAGTTAGATCCTTCTTGCGAACTTGCAGTCACACTCGGCTGGGAAACTTAACTTTTGTGTTGGCCAAAAACAAGATATGAATCGTATCAAATTTTGTTCGAGAGGATAAATAAAAACTTGGCAGCCGTTATCACCGATTAGTGAGGCACGTCGGCTGAGAAAGTTTAAGCTTAATGTGGGAAGATTAAATACACATGCTGTTGTTTTAGAACCAAAGATGAAGAACTTACGAACTCGTTTTGGAGGCAAAGCTGACGAGCTATGGTTTCATTGAGAGCCATTCTTTCACATTGGAGTGTATAAACGCGTGAGCTCTAGCCAGTTCCCTGCACTTTGTGGTGTTTGCTGCATGGGAAAACAGAATTTAGAAGGTATGACTGTAATGTTTGCTGTATAGATTAAAAAACCTGTAGTTTCTCTACATGGTGCTGAAAGATCCACACAGTGGGAGCAAGTGTGGCAGCGCAAAACCAGTGCTGGCACTGCACACAAAAGAATTGATAACCTTGCCTGATGGAAACTAATATATGCTTACTATCTTTTGATGAAGTTTGCTTGGATGCATGGCGCCATGGGTCCTGGGATCCGTTCAGAAACATAATTCTGGAACCTGCTCAACGTTTGATTGATCGAACCATTCGTACCAAGAAACACAAAGGTTTACCTGCGATGTTCCAACCACCATAGTACAAGTTGGTCGTTTTCACGTCTGGAAACGTTCCATTTCCAAACTGCTCAGCACAATAGTTTATAAAAAATCTGGAAGCCTTTTCTTTAATCCAGTGTGAAAATTTACTAAACGTACTTACTGTGTGTTGATACGAGAGGAACGAATGCTGCTCTTCCGGTCGGATGCAACTTGAAAATATCCCACTTCGGTACAATATTGAAAATCCCAGCTCTCGTTATCTCGTTCGTTACCATTAGTATCGCTGTTAATTCTGTCCAAAATCTTTGCATATGTTTTCTGTAACAAAGCATTTCTACATATGTCTATTATGTGTATATATAAGTTTGCGTACCAATAGGTTCCTGTTGCTTTTCTCTGCTTTGAGCAAAGGATCACATAGAGCATCTATTTTCCCATATTGTATCTGGAGTATAAACAACACATGATTATATATAAACGTTATACTGTATGATTCATACTTCGCCAGCTGCAGCATTTGCTACATAGGCAAGAAGGGTATCATCTGTAATCTGTAAAGAAGAAAACAAACACATGGAAATATGAACTGTCAAGATAATTGAGTTTCATTGGGTAAAGAAAATGATTACAGACTTACGTACATTATCCTTTGGAGAGAAACCAAATAGATATTTTATTTCCGTTGCATTTTCTACTAAACCGTGCTCGGTTAGCCTGGTAATTTCTTGTAGTGCCTGCTTGCATTTTGGTCCGACAGACACTCCCAGCTAGGCAAAGAATTTATAGATAAAAACAGGAATTCATCCCAGCAAAAAAAAAAAGTTTAGAAACTATGTAATTTATTCTTACCTGCTTATCGTAAGCACTGTAGTCTAGGATTGCCTCTACCACGGCTGAGCTTGCCCAGCTACCAGCAACAAGATGAGGAAATTTAAGCCTAAACCAAGCACTCAAAGCACCCGCATATGAACCTCCTATAACAATCCATGGATTTTTTTCAGTTTTGTTGTATTTCTGGTTGATCAAGTCCTGCCATTGAAAAGGGGAAATATATATTTTTCTTGACAAGAGAGGTACTTGCCTGATAGTAGTCTATAAACACAGCATGATCAAAGAGAGATTGTTTTGATGTTAGATACTTCAGGTTGTGGAGATTCAAATGCTGGAACGGTGAGCTGTGGCCATAGTAGCGATGCTCGACTGTAACAATTGCAGCTCCAAAAGATTCAGCCAGAGTCTGAAACGTAAGTAGTAATTATTTAGGATAATCATAGAAAGAAATATAACTCACCCCTACGTAAGTGGTAACGTAATCTCCTGTGCAAGTTGACTCCCCACACATCACTAGAAATATTGGCCCATTGTGAGGACGAAAGAAATCGAGAAGCTCTAAATACTTCTGAGAAAATACTCGTGGATCCTGAAACAGGAGAGGAAAATCAGAGAAAAGATGCGAACTATGGCCACACCTCTGGAGCGAAATGGTCAAGCTTCTGCCTGGTAAAGAAATTTACAGTCTCCTTGCCTCTTGGAGGTGACCGCGAGCCCTCTGGTAGAAATTCCGGCTTGAAACCAAGCCGTGACGAGGGCACAAAGGCGCTGCTAAAGCTTGTGGAAGTTGCAAGTAGAACGAAACACACAAGCAACATTCTCATCTTCTCTTCTCTAGCTGGAAGATATCAAGAACAAGTTTGCCTCAAGAACAGACAATGGCGGCCTCGCTGTAAGAACTGACTTTGCCTTGAGCTTTTAAGCATACTATAGCGGACCACAGAGACCGTCATGACTTTGACATTCTCTGGTCCTGGAAATCCACTAGAGGTGCTGGGCCTCCAACATGCATAAAAAGAGACAGCACAAGTTCCCGGTCGAAAGCTCACTTCCAGAACAAAGTCCCAGTCAAAAGTCCACTTCCATACAATAATACATGTTTTTCAGGTCTGTGAGCATCCATAAGACCACTGGGTACTGGGTCCATATGGTTCCCTCAATGAAAAAGAAGAATGGAAGATATTTACCAAGAAAAACATTCACTGTTTTGTTGTCAGCTTCAGCACCACCACTCGTGACCACTCAGTACAATTGCTTGAAATTCAGAGTGTCAAACAAAAAGGACAAAGTTCCTTATGGATTCAAAGTGGTCCCATGACTGTCTCCATCGCTAGTGGCATCACAATAGTTTTCCAAATAAAATTAGGTTATTCGTGGTCATGTAAGGCAAAGGCTGTTAACCTCCCCAATTATTACTCCTGAATAAACTAAAAGGAAGAAAACAATGAGTAGGAGCTTTCACTGTTGTTGCCAGGTTGAGCTCCACCACTCTGCACAACTGCTGAAATTCAGTGTCAAACAGAAAGAACAGTGCAGTACTTTTTCCAATTCGCATTACAGAAACGTGGTCGGCCTACGTAAATCAGGATACATTTTGTTCATTAGATAACAAACGTACATAACTTTTCTTGTTATTGGAGTTCCGACCTCTTTTGAAGTACCACAAGTCACAATTTAGTCATAATCAACAACTCGTTATGCAGAACATATTTATAAAATATTATTAGACTACCCCAAGATGGATGCTGCGACATTGAAGTGGGAAGCTCGAAAAGCACATGAGAGAATTGCGAGAAGCAAATCCTTTACCTTGCAAATCTTGTTGTATGGCAAGTGCAGGAGCGTGGACGAGGCAAAGGCAGTGTTCCCCAATAATTTATGTTGGTCGTAGCATATGCCCAAAACAAGCATCTTTGTGCGTCGCGTTTATGACAACCATAGCCACTTTTCCAGCAAATCCGGTTTGACCATGCAAGAGTCATGCTGGATCAAATGCCGCAGCTCGGCGTCGTGACCTGGACCGTGATGATCGTTGTGAATGCGGATTTGGCAGCGGCAAGAGATGTCTTCAATCGAATGCCGCAGCGGAATGTGGGTCGTGGACAGCGATTGGGTCGGGTCTGGATCTTATCGAGGAAGATCTTCGATTCGATGCCACAACAAAACTCTAGCTACATATGTTTTCAAGTGGGACACATGACGAACTTCATATTAGTCCGCTTAAACAAGGCGACCTTGTTCTCAGCTGGAAACTCTGAACTCGGAGAGGATGGCTCTGAATTAGTCCCCTGACATAGGTTCCATAAAACCTTCATGTGACCTTGTTTATAGCAACGCGATTTTTACAGATGTGCCCGCCCGAGATCATCAGACAGCCCGGTCTAAGCTTTGTTCCGGGCCATGAAAACGTAAGATCACGTCACCACCAAGCGTCAGCGTCCTGGTTAAACAGCATTTCAAAGAAACAAACGAACTTGTAGTTACAAGGCGAGCAAACTATCCTTGTTATTCCCACTCAACTTAGGGAAGGCTGCAGGATGGCTACAGCAACTATGACTACGGGATCGAAAGCCGCGAGGTGGAATGTGGCGCGGGAAGCTATGGGAGTGTGAGGCTTGACGTGTACAGGGAACAGGCAGTGGCAGTGACGAGCAACAATCATGGTGTTTCAGAGAGCAGCATCCAAAGAGAGATCGAAGTGATGCGCTCACTGAAAAGTGAGTTCCGCGTTCCTCGGCCGCGTCCAAAGGGGCTGGAAAAGATATTTGATCGTATGCCATTCAAGGACGTAATTTCTGGACAATGATGACCGAAGCTTATTTCCAGCAAAGCCGGTTTGATCAAGGAAGAGTCTTGCTAGATCACATCAGATACCGCAGCTCGACCGCGTCGTGGCCTGGCTGCGATGATCGTCGCAAATGCACAAGAGATCTCTTCGATGGAATGCCGCAGCGTGGTTGGACTATAATGGAGGAAGCTATTCGACTCGATGCCACGGGAATCCCACATCTCTGTAAATGTCTCCCACCAAAGAATATTACATAGGCTTTGAAAGAGCAAGACTTAACTTTTGAGTTCACACTCCGGTTCTTGGCTTCTGTGAACTCGGAGGATGGCTCTGAACTGTCAAGTAAAACCTCCATGATCTCGTCAACAGCAGCACAATTGTTACTAATGTGGCCGAGTGCAATCTTATACACTTTGTCCGGGATCACCAGGCGTTATAGCGTCCTGGTTAAACACAGGAAAGCCAGCGGGATAAACTATCTTGGACTCTGGAGCATGGTCATCATTCCATAGGCAACGAATGACCACGCGATCGCAAGCGCGAGGTGGATCCAATGTGGCGCGGGAAGCTATGGCAGTGTGAGGCTAGGCGTGTACAGGGGCAGTCAAGAGCTACGTAGCTCTTGACTGCCATATACAACCGTGGTGTTTCAGAGAGCAGCATCCGAAGAGAAATCGAAGTGATGCTGTCACTCAAAGGTGAGTTGCTGAGCTCGTAGGGCATGGTGATTGCCAGGGATTTATGTGGCAGTCTTTTAGCCTGCATGGCAGAGGCATCGCTCACGAGGATGTCAAGAGTGACGCTCTGAACTTCGGGATGAGGGCCAACATGTGTGACTTTGGCACCGCAAGGCTCTCAATCAGGGACACCATTACATCCAGCCAAGTGATGAGATGCACTTGGTGTGGCACGAGGATTGGAGCCATGCTCATAAGGTCATTCTTCAAGGTTGCATTGCAGGAAAGGAAACTAAACAACAAACTTCGGATTTATGTTTCTACTTATTGGATCGAATAACTAATCAGTTTTTATTTCAGACAACCATCGCTTAAATATATTTCAAAAAATTACACCATCAGTGTTTACATCAGCTGCCTTTAGGAGGCTTTAGGAGTTACAGAATCTTTTGTATCAGAGTTCCAATCTTACGTGTGGAGAATAAATACGAGTCTTCCTTCCCCACAACTTTGCAACTAAGCTTGAAAGTTCACGATGCAGAGTTTGATACCTTCACGAGTCTAGAGCCTTCATGGACAATACAATCTCCCTAGATTTCCAGAATTTCACACAAGCCATTGCAATTGAGCTGCAATACATGTGGTGTTGACAGCAACTCGTCCTCTTGATCTCTGTCAAACGCATGGTGCCGGTGATAAGTTAAACTTGTGAGTGAGGAAGACCTGATTACCACTGGCGATTTCAAACTCTCACCCTCGGCAAGACCAAGAACCTTGAGCAGCCGACAACTGGATAAAAAACTAGAGAGTTCATCATTAGTCAAGCTGTTAACCTTCCATAGTCTGAGCTCCTGTATGAAAGAGAAGCATGAGTTCGTGTGATCAAAAGTGTTCAACTATGACAAGCTCAACTTCTCAAGCCTGTTACAGCCTATAACTTGCATAGCAGATGCTGCGGGCCACTATAACTAGTACTTCCAGCTTCGGAGAAGCTCGCACTAATGTTTGAGTAAATTCAGCAGATGAATCAAGGTCATTCTCGTGAGACTTGGAAACGAAGGACTCAAAGTCCAGTTTTAAATCTAATATCTATCAGTGTCATGCTTGAGAGGTTTGGAAACCCATTCAAAATTTCAGTGGGATCAAACGCATTCAACCGTGAGAAGCTCATCTTCTCAAGCCTGTTACAACCTATAACTTTCACAGCAACGCCTTCTTGTTGATGAAAAACTATCTCTTTCAGATGCTGCCAGCCACTGCGACCATCAATAACTATAAAGTACTTCTAGCTTTGGAGAAGCTCACATTAATGTTGCATATTATCACAACTGAAATTCCAGAGATGACTCAGGGCTAGTCTTATGAGGCTTGGAAATGAAGGGAACACAGGAAGTCCAGTTTTGAATCTCATATCCTTCAGTGTCATGACACTGAGGATATCCTTCAGAGGTTTGGAAACACATTCAAAATCTCCCAAAACGCAGAAACTTCGTATATTGGTAGCCCAACCTCAAGGATGCTTAATGAATCTCTAGATTTGTGAAGCTTTGGCCAATCAACGCCAATCATATCCATAAAGCCGCAATGACAATCATGTTTGAACTATAATGTATAAACCTTATTGGATATTTTAGCATATTAAACACCCAAGCACTAAACTACCATGTCATGGGGTACGAGGATGGATGCTGCAACATTGAATACTATGCACAGATCGTCCGGGCGTGTGGCAATGCTGGAATCTTGTTGGAAGCTCGAAGAGTCCATGAGAGAATTGCGAGGAGTGTTCACTCACAAAGCCGCTACCTTGCAAATCTGGTCGTGGCTATGTATGGCAAATGCGGGAGTGTGGACGAGGCAAAGGCTGTGTTTGATCGCATTAGCCTCCCTAATGATTTCTCCTGGAATATGTTGGTCGTAGCGTATGCCCAAAACGGGCATTTGCGTGAGGCAAGGTTGCTGATAGAAAGAATGCCGCGCCCAAGCGTGATCGCATTGACGGCCACCATAGCCGCTTGTGCTGAAGCTAAAAGAGTCCAAGAAGCTTTGGCTTTGTTTGAATCAATGCCAGAGTGGAATGTGGTGGCCTGGAACACGATCATTCAGGCACTTGCCATGAACGGGGATCTAGGAGGGGCTCGAGAGATGTTCGATCGCATGCCATTCAAGGACGTCATTTCCTGGACTACGATGACTGAAGCTTACGTCCAGAACTGCCGTTTCGACCAAGCAAGAGTTTTGCTGGGTCAAATACCGCAGCTCGACGTCGTCACCTGGACTGCAATGATCGTCGCAAATGCCGAAAGTGGGGATTTGTTATCCGCAAGAGATCTCTTCAATCGAATGCCGCAGCGGAATGTGGTGTCATGGACTGCGATGATGTCGGCGCTCGCCCAAGCCGGAGAGCTCATCGAGGCCAGGAAGCTCTTCGACTCGATGCCACAGCGGAACTCCATCTCTTTCAATGTGATGATCGTGGGCTACTCGCAGCAGGAAGATCTGAAAGAGGCGAAGGGGCTGTTTGACGCGGCGCCAGAGTGGGATCTCGTCGCCTGGACGGCGCTCCTCCAAGCCCAAGCGGCAAGAGGCAAGCTCCAGGACGCCATAGAACTCTTCGATGAGATGCCGCAGAGAGATGCCGTAGTGTGCACCGCCATGATCGCAGCCTACGCCAGCCATGGCCGCCTCGACGAAGCTCGAAGTATCTTCGACACCATGCACGAGAAAGATGCTGTCGCGTGGACAGCGCTCACAGCAGCATATGCCCAGGCAGGGCATCTTGAGCACTCAAAGACCATGTTTGATTCCATGCCCTTGCAGGACACCGTGGTGTGTACGGTCATGGTAGCGGCGTACGGCGACAGTGGCGACGTGCTCGCCGCCAGGAGCGTGTTTGAGAAAATGCCCGTCAAGTGTACAGCTGCCTGGAACGCGGTCGTACAGGCCTATGCCCAGCGGGGGCATATGCGGGACTTTCGGAAGCTCTTGGCTGGGATGCCCGAGCACGACACCGTGTCTTGGAACACGGCCATCCAGGCGAATGCCCAGAACGGGCACAGCTGCGCGGCTTTGGAATCCTTTCGGGCGATGCTGCTGGAGGGATTCCAGGCGGACGAGCTGAACTTCAGTGCGGTTCTCGCGGCTTGCAGCCACATTGGCCATGTTGAAAGCGCGCGGGATCTTTTTGTGTCCATGGCACTAGATCACGATGTTGCGGCGATGTTGGATCACTACGACTCGGTGGTGGACGTGCTGGGGCGCGCTGGGCGAGTGGAGGAGGCCAGGGAGCTCATCGCCACCATGCCGTTTCTTCCGGATGCTGTGGCGTGGACGACGCTGCTGGGTTCTTGCAAGAAGAACAGGATCAAAGCCGCGGAGGTGGCTGGAAACGCGCACAAGCTCAATCCAACTAGCTCGGCGCCTTTTGTCTTGTGGATTGGCAGCTAGTCGCGAAGTTTTTCGAGGAAGAAGGAATGCGGAGTTTGTTCTTAAAAGGTGGCAAAAGTGTTTTCCGAGGAAGAAGAAATGTGGAGTTTGAGAGAGGTTGGGTCACCAAAGTCCCGTAAAGAAGAAGAAAGCAAAGTTTTCAAGGAGGAAAGATGGATGGCTGGCTGTTTCGATAGATCTCCCGCTTCCATCTCACGAGCAATCCATGAGGGCGGATGTTGAGGAATGCACTGCGCAAGCAGTTCGTCCTCCTCGGTAAGAAGCCTCCTCTCCATCTTTTCTCCACGATCTTGGCTTCTCGATCTCCGGCACTCCGGTCTCAGCACAGCGAACCCACCCTCCTCGCGGATCTCCAGTCGAGCAGCGAACAGGAAGCGCTGGACCTCGTCCGCCAGTGCTGCGAGCTGGGATCTCTCGACCAGGCAAAGCGTCTCCACGCCTCCATCCTCGAGAAGGGCGTCTCCAGCGCCAAGATCTTCTCCAAGTACCTCATCCGGATGTACGCGCAGTGTGGCAGCCTCGAGGACGCGCAGCGCGCATTCGATGGCATCGCTCACCCGGGCGTGGTATCCTGGACCGAGCTCGTCAAGGCGTATGCCCACACCGGGCATCTTGGCGAAGCATTTCGCTGCTTTCGCCGGATGCTCCTCGCGGGCACCCGGCCGGATCTAGTCCTCCTCTCGCAGCTCCTCCTCCACCAGGAGCCTCCGCTCGGCCTGGAAGAAGCCAAGCTCCTCGACGCGATCGTCTGCTCGTCCGGGTACGCCAGAGATTTGCTCCTGGGAACTTCGCTGCTGGTCTGGTATGGGCGATGCGGGCGGCTCGAGGAGAGCAAGGCCGTCTTCTCCAGGATGGAGGGCCGCGACGCCGCTGCCTGGAACGCGATGATCTGGAGCGCCATTCTCAGCGGCGAGAAGAAGGAGGCATTGACACTCTTCCAGGCGATGAAGGACGAGGGCGTTGCTCCGGAGGGTGTGGACTACTGGGCGGCGCTCAAGGCCTGCGAGCTTGTCTCGGAGGTGAGAGCTCTCCACGCCGAGATCTCCTCCAGGAAGATGGAGGGCGATCCCGATGTGGCCTCGGCGCTCATCGACTGCTACGGACAGCTTGGTGAGCTCGAGGTGGCGGAGCAGCTCCTCTTCACTTTCGGTCTCGAGGAGGCCCCGTGCTGGACGAGCTTGCTCGTCGCGTACGCTCGCCACGGATACCACAGCCGGGTGATCCAAGTCTTCCACGAGATGCAGCACAGGCGCTTGACGGCCAACTTCGCCACCTTCGCCGCGGTGCTCGACGCCTGCGCCGGGCTGGGAGCTCTCGTCGAGGGGAGAGTCATCCACCGGCGAGTCGTCGAGGTCGAGAAGCTCCCCATCGCTGGAACTCTGGCGAGGTCCCTCGTCAACATGTATGCCAAGTGTGGAGAGCTCGGGGAGGCGTGGAGCGTCTTTGAGGGTGTCACGGGCAAGCGGGAGCTCAGGCTCTGGAACACTTGCATCGACGCGTTCGCGGCTCACGGGCAGGGGCACTCGGTGCTCCAGCTCTTCCAGCTGATGCAGCAAGAGGGAGTGAAGCCGGATCAAACCACCTTCTCGAGGCTGCTATTCGTCTGCTGCTACGTTGGTCTCGTCGAAGTCGGCTATGCTTTCTTCGCCTTGATGATCACTGACCACTTGCTATCTCCTAGCCTGGAGAACTACGCCTGCATGGTCGATCTTCTGGGACGAGCTGGAAACCTGGATGGAGCTCAAAAACTTATCACCAGAACTCCATATCAATCCAGCCCCGTTCTCTGGAGGAGCTTGCTAGCGGCTTGTGGGATCCAAGGTGATGTCGAGCGAGGAAAACGAGCCGCTGTTCAGATCTTTACTTTGGATCCAACCATGGCGGAGGTATACGTGGTGCTGTCGAGAATCTACGAGAGCACTGCGAAACCGGCGATCGCTCGAAAGGTAAAGCTGCTGATGAAGGAGCGAGATGTAAGCTCGGAGCTAGCCCGGAGCTGGATCCAGATCAGTGGTGTCATTCACAGCTTCACCACTGGAGATCAAACTCATCCCCAAACCGAGGAGATATACGCTGCTCTCCAGAAGCTCGAGGCTGATTATCCGGCCTGGGAGGCTGCCGGGACGAGCAACAACGACTTGACCATGCACGACGTCGATGAGGAGGATGAAAACTCGGTTCACAGCGAGAAGCTGGCTCTTGTCGTTGGCCTGATGAACTCGCGGTTCCAGGAGAATGAGACGCCGGTGGTGGTGTTTAAGAACAAGAGGATGTGCCGTGAGTGCCACTCTTTCTTTGCGACGATATCGAAGGTGGCCGCTCGTGACATTGTCGTGCGGGACAGCTCCAGATTTCATTGGTTTAGACAGTGTTCTTGTTCCTGTGGGGATTACTGGTGATAATAACTTTTTTCCTCATGAAAACTACAAACACCTAGCACTGAAACATCAAAGCTCATCACATAGTTTGCAAATTCTAACCTTCCATATGGTAGAGATGTTAAATTAGCCTGTCGTAGACTTCCTGGGCAAATGGCCTGTTGCTAGCATCGTTGTCCATGCATTCTCGGATACAGGCAGCGACATCGTCAGTGTAAGAGCTGAGAAGGCTGAGTATGCTTTCCCGATGAGACACTGCCGGATCACTGCCAAAGACTTCGGTGTTGGACAAGAGAAAGGACTTCCCGAGCTTGAGCTCCGCCATCACCACCCCCATCGAGTAGATGTCACACTCAAAGCTGTAGCGGCCACCAGCAATGCGCTCCGGGGCCTGGTAAATCCTCTTGCGGAGCTCGTAGTGTGGATCATTCCCCGACCTCTCCCTCTCGCTCATTTCCAGGGGATCTGCGAGGCGCGCTAGGAGGAACCCCGCGAGCTTGACTTGCAAGCTTGCGGCTTGCTGCTGGGCGACGATGAGAATGTTGTTGGAGCTGATGCTCTCGTGCACAATGTGGCACCTGTGAAGATCGGCTACTGCTGCTGCCAGGCTCAGAAGCACACTGTTGGTGACACCGGGGTCTAGTCCTCCCAGTTGCTGAAAACTGTTAGCAATCTGGAATTCCAGGGTGGTGACTGCGGACTTGGAGTGGCATCCTTCCACCCGGCTCAAAATATGATAGCTTCCATCCTGTTCGATCATCTTCTCCATCTTCACCAGGCCTAGCTCACTTGCTGGTATGTCCTGGTAGACGAGGATCAGCCTTCCAATTCGATTCAGCCTGCAAGCTTTCACCTTGGGCGTCGTGCCAACGGGAATGGTTTCAACGAAAAACACAGACCCATCATCTGCCTCAAGGAGCCGGTCTTGGTCCTGCGGATTATAGCTGGGAAGGCCCGCCATGCTTCGGGAGTAGACATTGCTGCTGATGAGATCTTGTTTTCTGATGGGCTTGAGATTCCTGGGATCCATGATCTTCGAGATAACTTTCCTGGAGTTACTCATGCCATCTCTGCCTTTGTCCTCATTGTTACCAATATCAACAATGCCGCCCTGTGCTTGCTTGGACAAGCTGACCAAAATGTGTACAGCGTTGACCAATTTCTCGATCTTGTCTAGCTGCTCGCGGACCCTCTTTGCTGCAAACATGGATTCGTCGAGCACCTTTTGGAGCTTACACAGCCGATTGTAAATGCGCTGGTTGCAGAGCAACAAACCTTGTTTTTGCTCGTCAGAGATCCCCTTTTGGGTTTCAGCCACTGACCGGAGCGCCTTGTAGATCTCCACAGCAAGCACCATCCGAGCGTAGTCTTCCTGGTCGAGTCTCTCCAACAAACCCTTCACACGATTCAAGAGGTTGATGATGCTGTCGATGGAGGCGACTAGGCCAACAACACCCGCCACAACACTGAAAGGATCCATCAGGGCACTGTTCAGTAGCTAGAACTCACACTTTATCCCTAGTGTTTTTCCTTCTCCAGTGACTCCTTCCAACTTCTGGCCATCTCAACATCTCGTTCAAGATCTTTGTCCCCACGGAACTTCCTCCACTTTTCGACCCCTTGGGTGTCACCCAGCGCGTAGCAGTAGCGGAAGCAGACCGCAGCAGATTGGCGGTGGTGTTTCTTCTCGGCAGCCATGGCAAAATAGTTGTAGGCTTGCATGGACACTTGCTTCAGTCCGGTTCTGGAGGCCACTAGCATTCCCATATTAAAGAGGCTATCAGCGTCAAGCTCGTCAGCAGACTTGGAAACAAGCTCGATCAGCTCCTCCCCGTCTTTGTCTTGGTAACCAGCACCCACTTGGTAGCACACTCGTGGATGCAAGCTCCAGAGTGATCGCCGAAACCAGTACTCGGCCTCGCTTGTGTACTGACGTTTCTTCTGCACGAGTAAGAACGCAAGCATCGACGCTGCTCTTTCTGCACCATAGAGCAAAGCCTGTTTCAGTACCTTCTCGGCCCCAGCCAAATCTCCTCGATAACGCAGCATGCTCGCCAGCTCCACCATGGCTAGCGAATTGCCGAGATCCATGGCTCGTTGCAGCAGCTCGAGCTTGCGTTCCACGCCTACGCCCCCACAAATGGCAAGTTGCAGCATTGCGGTGTCGTTGCCAGCTGAAACTCCCTGCTCCCACAGGCGGACTGCCATGTCATTGTCTCCCTTCTGGGAGAACTTTATCGCTTGCATGCTCAGGGCCTCGGCATCGCCCGCTTCGGCGGCAGCTCGCCACCATTCCATTGCCTTGCGTTCATCTTGGAGCCCTTGATAGAGAGCACCGATTTTTGTGACGACACTTGGCTCCATGTACTGCCTTTTCTCTGCGAGTATCTGGTGCCACTCGTCCGAATGGAACTTGGCAGACATATTGAAGAGAGCGTTCATAGCCTTGATGCTGACATCTCTTGATTGCCTGAATATCTCCATTCCCACTTCGTCTTCTCCCAGCTCGAGCAGACCATCCATAAGATCATACTCTACTGTCGACTTGTGACGATGCATTCGAAAAAACAGCAGTAGCTCGTCATCGGAAGTCGAGTTGAACTTCTTGCTCAATAAAGTTCTGAGCCTTATGCAAATAGAGTTCAGCTCGAGACGTCCTTTCCCTTGCCGGTGACTCCTTGTATTGAGGATAGAAGCTTTTATGCAGCTCAACCTGGCCCAGCCGGAAGTCATCCTCTCTAAATTAGCTGCTGCAGTGTAGAAATCAATTGCATTCGTGTTGTCACATCTCAGCTTGTACAAGTCGCCAATGAACTCAAGCAGTGCGCCGTTTCTCGACTCAGCCAAGAGCCCTGCCTTGTTAATCGTGCCTTTGACAACACTCCTGAGGATTCTCCCCAAGAGGCTCCCACCCTCGACGCTCCTCTCCAGAAACTCCATCTCTTTGGCAGGAAGCTCGCGGTAACCCGGGTTGACGGCTATGTAGAAGAGTGCTAGAAGTGCCTGTGCGTGTGCATATCCCGTCTTGGCTGCTTTCAAGAGAAGATCGAGTACGTTCCTGTGGTTGCCATTGATCGTGGGAGCAAACTCAAGACAAGTGCTGAACATTCCGCTCCGCAAAGAATATATGTTGGCAAACTCCACTTGAGCGTACGCGTTACCCCGGCTAGAAAGCTCTGCTAGATGATGTATGGCATCACCAATTCCCATCCTGGTTTGTATCATTGCCAGGTAGAAGTCCACAAGAGCGCTCATCAACATGTTGACACCGATCTCGTCTTCGAGCATCACAAGGCAGTCCTTGAACAGTTCCAATGCCGCCTCCCAGTTTCTTTGGCATCCGTAGCCATGGAAGTTCATGATACCCAGAAACAGCTTGGCCACTGCGCTTTCAGACGTGGTGAACACGTCAAATGCCTCCTCGTATTGTTGTTGATAGAAAAGCATCCTGCCCTGGCGGATGAGATCGGCGTTGTCACCTTCTTCGTTCTCAAGGAAAGTGTCGGTCCAGTAACACGCCAAGTTGACCCTCTCCGCCTCCCCAATGGCATGATCAAGCAGACCTTTAAAGCTCTCGAAATCACGATCATCGCTGGAGTAAAGATGGTCAAGAGCATCAAGGACCTCATCGCAGCTGGGCCTTTCGAGTGGGCAGGAAGCCAAACACTGGACTACGATTTCAACGTCGCCGAGGAGCTCTTGCAGCACAAGGCCAAGGCTGTAGATGTCAGAGGCCAAGCGATGGTACATACTGCCAGGAGGAGCAGCCCGTTTCTCGGGTGCCATGAAAGCCGGTGTGCCGAGTACCTCCCCAAAGTCATTGTCGCCCATCTGTCTTGCGGTGCCAAAGTCACACAGCTTGGCCCTCAGCCCAAAGTCAAGCAACACATTGTCACTCTTGACATCCTCGTGAGCAATGCCTCTACCGTGCAGGCTGCAAAGGCCGCCACACAAATCCCTGGCAATCACCACCTTGAGACGGCCCGACAAGCTTTGGCCGCTCGCATCCAGCAACGCCCTGAGCGATAAGTTGTAAGCGAGCTCCATGACAATGCAGCGATCATCATCCAGCCCCGTTTGGACGCGGCCGAGAAACTGGACGACGCGGGACTCACCTTTGAGTGACCGCATCACTTCGACCTCTCTTCGGATGCTGCTCTCTGAAACACCTCGGTTGTAGCTCTTGACTGCCACTGCTTGTCCCCTGTATACGCCTAGCCTCACACTGCCATAGCTTCCCGCGCCACATTCCACCTCGCGGCTATCGATCTCGTAGTCATTGATATCTTCGTTGCTGTAGCCTTCCCGCAGCAGTACTATTGGGGATGAAGATGCTGAGCAGTCCATAGCTCTTAGTTTGATTGCGTTGCAGGCTAATTATATTCCCCATACCAGCGTGAGAGATGGTTCGTTGCGGCTGGAATCTCTGCGAATTCGGAGAGCATGACTCCCTGTTAACTTGGCTCGCTTAGCTCGCTTAGCTCGCTTAGCCATGTCCTTTGTCATGAGCCCTTGTTACAACTATAGCAGTGAGCAATTTCATCTGAATAACATAAAAAATTTAACTCTTGCTCCTTGAAGCTTATCAAGGCCGATGCCAAAGCAAATTTGATAACTATAAATGTCTTTGAATCCCACCTCTCTGCACATGTCTGGTCACGACGTCGAGCTGCGTTTTTTATCCAGCTTGATCAAACCGAAACTGTGGAAGTCGTCGTCAAGGAACAAACATCTCTCGAGCCCCTCGTAAAGCTCCGTTCATGGCAAGTCTTTGAATGATCGTGGTTCCAGGCCACCACATTCCACTCCGGCATTGATCAGCAACCTGAATGGTGAGTTCCATTGATATGGAATATCAATAACGTAGTTATTGATAACTTCGTTGCTATAGCCTTCTTGCAGCGATGGGGATGGAGATGATGCAGAGTCTATAGCCGCACCTAACAACAAGGACGCGTTGTACCCATTCCAGCGGGAAAGATGGTTTGTTCTTGTACCTTTGGAATCAAAGGATGAGGCAATCTGTGGGCCAAGAAAATTCAATTTCCAACTTTTATTTTTGTCATTATTTGATCCGGAAGAGAGAGTGCTGAGTCATGCAACATGCAATCTGCAGGCAATATCATTCATTTATTCATATACTATTTACCTTGTAACGACCTCCAAGAAACATGAGACCAATGGAATTAAATATGCCGTGTTGAAAATTGCTGTAGCTGTTTGTCGTCCAATCTGGTCGTCGGCATCTATGATACACAGTAAACTGCAAGTCCCAAGGAAAGACTGGAGTTGAGGAGAGAATCACGGCAATGTCGCTAGCATGAACAATCTGAATGTTGCCGGGCAAAAGTCCACCGGTGGAGGGGTAAAGCAGACATACTACTAAACTCCAAATGTTGGCCCTGGCTTTAGCAGAATTTGCAATGTACAAATACAGGACAATGAACAATTGTCATCCTCGAATTTAGCCTTGTCCGTTTGGAGATTCTAGCACGGTGAAGGAGATGGGGTGGAGCAAGTTGAAAACATGGACAGAGATAATCTTGAAACACTGCACACCGAACTGATAGACCAACTAGAGTTCTGGACATGGCAAGCTATGGTGTTCCTTTGTATGCCATCAGCCTGGGCCCTGGGTTTGGTGGTGGCGTGATCTTACGTAATGATGGCCTAGAACTCCATGCTCGAGAAGGTTAGAGTGGGGTGTCGGTCTTGGATGGTCACAATCCTGTTGCTATGGACAAAATCATGAAACTTTTAATTGAGAAAGAAACCATAAGAGGGGATGGATTTAGAGCCATCCTCTCTGAGTTCACAAAGATTCCAACCGAGAACAAGGTCACCTTGCGTAAACGGACTCGGTTGCAAGCGTATACAATATTCTCTAGTGGGAGACACGTATAGTATACACCACTGGAAGGAAGACATATGTAGTTAGAGATTCGTGATGGCAAGCTTCATGGCCTTGGTAAGATCTCTGGCTTGGGCTGAGCGCCGACACCATTGCAGTCCACGACACCACAGCCCGCTGCGGCATATGATTGAAGAGATCTCTTGTCGATTCCAAATCTCCGCTCTCGGCATTTGCAACAATCATTGCGGTCCAGGTGACAACGGCAAGCTGCGGCATTTTACCCAGCAAAGCAAGGCCCTTGCTTGATCAAACCGGCTTTGAGCTTCAATCGTCGTCACCCAGGAAATCACGTCCTTGACTGGCATACGCTCAAACATGTCTCGAGTTCCTCATAAATCTCCGTTCATGGCAAGTGCCTGACTGATCGTGTTCCAGGCCACCACATTCCACTTCCGGCACAATGCTAAATCTTCTTGGGACTCTTTTAGCCTTTGCACAAGCGGCTATGGTGGCCTTAAACGCGATCAAGGAGCTGGTCCAAATTCTTGGGAGAGCCGCTTCGCGCGCGAATAGATCTGAAAAGAGGCAAAAATTCTCCAGCAGCGTAGCTGTCTCGGTACTAAAAAAAGTGACAGTACAGAGAAGTTAGCTTATAAATCAACTCCAGTTGAAATCGGACTTGGGTTACCTCTTCCGCTCCTGGTGCTCTCCTACAAATAATTTACAATCCCAGTCACGCACGTCCATCACCTCCAAGGTCTCGAGCTCTCATTTCGCGAGCTTCCCTTCGGCTCTAGCAGCCTCCTTGACGATGACGTTGATTCCTCGCACCCACAAATCTGCATTGCTCTCACCCGATGCCTGAAAGTGCACCTCTCTCCCGGTACTAGTGATCACCCTGAAGATTCCAGGCCCGTCGTCGGACGACCTCCTGTTCTTCTGAAACCTGCTTGATGCTCCCAGCCCGGCTTCCTTACACGCCACTGTACGCCTGCTTGTGTTACCCCACGTAAGCAAGCCCGTCCTCAGCATTCGAACCGACTTCAAGTGAGGAGTTCCCTTGCCTTGGCGAGTGTGCTTCGATAGCTGGCCTCCCAACAGGACAAGCTTCATCGCAAGGTGATCGAGGAGGACCTCTTCAGCCGCTTTCGTTGAGCCAGCCCTCTTGGCCAGAGTCAGAGCTGTCTCTCCCCTGCCGTTTGCGAGATTGCAATCGGCCCCCGCGTTTAGAAGCACTCTGCAAGCTTCTGCGTGTCCTTCCTTCGCGGCTAGCATCAGCGGACTGTAGCCTTCCTCGTCCAGCAAGTTCACGGCGTATCCATGCTTGAGAAGCTTGCTCACACCTTCCAAGTTGCCCCGCCATGATGCGAAGTGGAGCGGCTTGAAGTTCTCCACCTTGAGCAGGTCGCAGAGGATAGAATCCAGGAGGATTTTTTCCAGTTGCTCCAGCCAGCCACTGTACGTTGCGAGACATATGGCTGTCTCTCCTTTCCTGTTCTTCAAGTTCATGTCGGCTCCAGCATGCACGAGCAGCCGGAAAACTTCGACGTGACCGGATTGAGCAGCTATCATCAGAGCAGTGTAGCCGTATTGGTCTTGAGCGTTCACTTCCACATACGGCTCCTTGAGAAGCCTCGACATGACTTTCACGTCTCCTCTCTTCGCGGCAAAATGAAGCTGCGAAAACACGTGAAGGTTGCTGGACTGGATACTGCATCCCGATTCGAGGGCCTTCCATATCACGTCGTTGAAAGATGCACCGTTGCCATTTGCTTTTGCTACTGTAAGAGCACTGTTGCCGCCTGTGTTTATAAACCCCGCATCTGCCCCGGCCAACAGCAGCTCCTTGCAGCACTGCTCGAGTCCCAGTCTCGCTGCTAGCATAAGACCTGTCTCCTCATTAGCTCCCACTACGTTCAAATCACATCCGTGTGAGATGAGCGTCTGTAGTATCGGAAGCGACCCATACTTGAGCGCCAAAAGTAGCGGAGGAAACTCTTCGCCGGCTTTTGTGTGTATACCGTCCTCGACGTTTGCCCCGGACTTGAATAGCAATTCCACTGCTGGTGCATTGCGGCAAAGAATTGCATGGCAGAGAATTGTCCTCCCAAAATGATCGTCGTTTGGAGAGAAGTAGTTCAGAAGAAGCTCCAGTACTGCACCTGTTTCTTCCCAGTACTCGACAGCACACCATAGCTCGTTGTATGGGCTTGCTAGGCCTGCACCGACTCGCACTTCCTCCAGAGATCCAGGCTCCCATGACCATGCTCCGAGCGATGCCTTACACCCAGTTTTTGCTCCTGCCTGTAAAGAAGCGATAGGACGCATTAGTTCTTAGAAATTAAACGACGAACTTTGTTCTAACAAGTGATAGTTATGGCACACCTCCAGAAGATATTTGACAACGTGAACTTGCCTCCCAACGATGGCAGATATTAGAGGTGTACACCTTACGTTCGCATGAAGAGCTGGCTTTGCCGATCGCAGTAGCATTCTATACCACGAGTTGATGTCTACTCCACTCTACACTTTCGCCCATCAGTTTTTCAAAAAAAAAACAACTCTTTGTTGACAGCATACCTGGATGAGAGCTTCAACGACGTCCACAAAACCCCGGTTACTTGCGTAAGCAAGAGCTTGCACGAGCACTTCGGGCCTTATCATCTCCGACGAAATAAGAATGTGCACGGACTTCACTTGATGATACAGGCAAGCTTCGAGCAGGGCGTCCTCCAAGGCGAGTTGGCCGGCACCAGACCTTTGCAAACAATTCACGATCTCGTGATGGCCCTCTCTTGCTGCTGCCGTGGACGCATATCCTCTGAAAAGCTTTTCATTCGGGTCAGCTCCCGCAAGCTGCGAATAGAAGAATGGTTAATGTCAGCGAGAGAGAAAAAAAATCCGGCATCGATATCTTACCAGTAGCATCTTCGCAATGTAGATGTGACCTGCGTGCGCAGCTGCAAACAAAGCAGTGACATCGGTTTTAAAAATCTCGTGGTCGATCTTTACTTCGTCGGGAGCCTCCTCGTGCTGGATAGAATCCGTGTGCTTGACACGCAGACTCACGGGCCCCTTGTAGTTGACATCCACGATCTGATCCGACAGCGCCTCGGAGACTCCGAGAACATCGCCTGCCAGAGCGCATTCTATCAGCCGCTGTGACACCGCATGCTCGCCCGCCATAGTCTTCGCATACATCGCGGCGCCGAGCGCCTACATTGCTGCACGAAACATTCGCCAAGATCAAGCGCGCATTCGATTCCCCCAAAGAATCACTCACCAGGGCTGGAAATATCCACAAGATCGGCCCCTTGCCGCGCTCGATTCACCGACAGGAGCGCTCACCAGGGTCGATCGCCGGCTCAATCGATCCGCATTCCAAGATTCGGCGCGGCACTGCCCGGGCCTTATCGAGCGCCTGTGCGCGGCGGCGGCCGTCCATCCATCGCTGCGCCACCGCTGCTAGTTCTTACGCGCTCCACGCACAGAGGGCGCATTTAAAAGACCTACTGTAGCGTCGCCTTCCTCCCTCCTTTTCTATCTATCTATCCATTCACACTATATACTCCAGCTAGGAAGAGAGCTTACACACGAAAACTCTCACACACGACACAAAAATACAAACTCCCTGGCCTGTGAGAAAAATCACATGCAGGCGTTACATATGCAACCAGCACAGTTAACGTCGACACTGACTGACGCCGTCAAGTACCCTAACTGTACTGTTAAAATGTATATTCTTCGAATCATTAGAAGCCTTTTTTAGGGCTCTTAAAATGTTATATTTACCTTTAGGGCTGTAAGTAGTATCCATAGATGCCTTTAGGGTTCTTGAGAGGGGGATTTAGGGTTTATGTAAGAGATGATGAACACTCTGTTCCAGCGGCTTCTTGCGGTGCCCCTCACTCCCTCGCGCTTGCAGCTGCCGCATTGCCGGGTAGCTCCATCGACGCTCACAGGTGAGTGGTCGAGTAGCGATTAGCTCAAGAGCGAGCGAATCTACCCACATTTTCTCAAGAATTTCGCTGCTCCAGGGGGGCGATGTGGCTTTCGATGGGGCACCGTGCGCTGCGCCGGCGCGGCGCCCTATCCCCCCAAGACCAAGTTCCGCAAGATGCACAAGGGGCGGTGTGAGGGGATCCTGGGCGATGGCAGCAAGCTCGCGTTCGGGACTTTCGGGATCAAGGTGCTACACTCGGGGAAGATAACGTACCAGACGATCGAGGCTGCGCGGCGGGTCATCTCGCGGAGGATCAAGGGCAGCGGCCGGATGTGGATCCGTGTCATTGCGAACTATCCGGTGACGAGCAAGCCCCTGGCGACTCGGATGGGGAAAGGCAAAGGCAACGTCTCGGGATACGTCGCTCGCTGCAAAGCTGGGAAGATCCTGTTTGAGGTGGATGGCTTAGCTCCGGTTGCTGCGAAGGAAGCGCTCATTCAAGCCGGGCATAAGATTGGCCTCCGGACCAAGATCGTCGAGTGGTCGTGAAAGAGTTTTGCCAGGTTTGTGTGAGAGGTCTCTGGTCTTCTGTTTGCTCACTGGAAGTTTGCCTTTTAGGAGCTCTCGATCGATCAACAGCAACTGTAAGCTAAGTTTTTTTTTTCTTGCTTCAAACTCTTGTGAATCTCACCATGAAATACAGTCTTCTTTTTGGGAAGCCAAGCTCGCTAGCTGTGAAATGAAGCACTCTGGATGAGTACGCAACAAAGCAGGATAAGATCCAACGCAGCGGCTTTACTTACCAGGATACGAGCTTGCAGAAACTTGGAAAGAGCAAGAAAAGTTCACGCCGAGGCTGTAGAAACCGGTGACCATCTCGAAGCGTTCGTCGCAAACTCTCTTGTCAGGATGTTCGCAAAGTGTGGCAGCATGGCCGACGCTCGTCACGTCTTCGACAAGCTTCCACTGCCCGATGTAGCGTCGCAAAACGCACTGATTCAAGGCTACGCGGAGAACGGACAGGGTGAAGTTGCCTTGGAGCTCTTCGAAAGCTTGCGGCAGCGTAGCTACAGGCCGAGTTCCCGTAGCTTTGTCGCTGTTCTCAAGGCTTGCATCGATCTAGCAGCGAAAGAGGAGGCCAAACTGGTCGATGGAAGGCCCGTGAAGTCGGACAGTCTCGGAAAAGGAGTGGAGATCCATGTTCTCGCAGGAAAACTCGGTTGTCTCGGCAGCATCTTCGTGCTAAACAGCCTGATCAGCTTCTACGCGAAGTGTGGCAGCATGGTGGACGCTCGCAGGGTGTTCGACGGCATGAAGCAGCGAGATATAGTCTCCTGGACGAGTTTGATGCTCGGCTACGTTGAAAGTGGAGAGCCAGAGACGGGGCTGGATCTGTTCGCAGCGTTGCTAGCCCAACGAGACTGTGATCCGGACGCTACAACCTTCGTGGCTGCTCTCAATGCTTGCACTGCTCTGGCGGCGAAAGAAGATGGCAGACTTGTCGATGGAAGAGTTCTGAGACTTAAGTCGCTGGAGCAGGGAATGGCGATTCACTGCGAAGCTCGGAAGCTCGGCTATGATCTCCACAGCGTCTTCGTGGTGAACAGCTTGATCAACATGTACGCCAAGTGTGGAGGCTCGCTGGACGCTCGTAAAGTCTTTGACAGTATGACGCACCACGACGTTGTCTCCTGGAATTCTTTGATACTGGGCCTTGTCGAGAACTCTCAAGGTGGACTGGCTTTGGATCTGTTTCCCTGCTCGAGCTGCCCTGCTCAAACTCTCAGCTTCGTGATCGCCCTCAAGGCCTGTAGCTGCGTTGCTGCCAGTGAGGATGGAGAACTTGTCGATGATAAGATGGTGAAAGTCGAAGCTCTGGCGAAGGGGATGGAGATCCACTCTCGAGCACGAAAGCTGGGCCACGAGTCGGAGATTCTCGTCGCAAACGCGCTGGTTGACATGTACGCGAAGTGCGGAAGCTTGGAGGACGCTCGCGGGATTTTCAACCGGATGCCGCTGCACAGCCTTGTTTCCTGGACGAGTTTGATGCTCGGGTACGCGGAGAATGGCGATGCCGACCGAGCGCTGGAACTCTTCGCCTTGGTGCGAGCTCGAGGCTGCGATGTGCGGGCATATCTCGCGGCGCTGAAAGCTTGCGGGACTGTGGTGTCGCTGGACCTCGCAAGAGTCATCCATGAAGACATCACTCGAGCCGGACTGGAGAATTCTCTGGCTCTGGACACCGGCCTGGTCGACGTTTACGCCAAATGTGGAAGCTTGGACTCTGCTCGTCGAGTTTTCGACGCTGTAGCCTCGAAGGACTCGGTGACTTGGACAGCGCTCGTAGCGGGCTATGGCAGACAAGGTGACACAAGCCGGGTCTTCGAGTTCTTTCACAGGATGCAAGACGAGGGACTCCGGCCAAACGCTGTGACTTTCCTGTGCCTTCTCACTGCCTGTAGCCATGGTGGGCTTGTCGAGACGGGGAAGAGCTACTTCCAGGCGATGGAGCCCAGATATGGTCTTGTTCCTGGTATCGAGCACTACCACTGCATGCTGGACATACTTGGTCGCGCCAACGAGCTCGAGAGTGCCGTAGAGATGGCGAGAAGGATGCCTTTCAAGCCAAACCCGGTGACTTGGATCACCATCCTGGGAGCCTGTCACAAGTGGAAGAACGTCGCGGTGGGAAGGATTGCGTTTGACGCGCTGGTGGAGCTGGAAGTCGGTGAAGGAGCCGTGTACACGCTCATGTCCAGCATCTATGGAGCTCGAGGGATGTGGGAAGAACAGGCTCGAGTGCTGGAGGCCATGAGAAGAGGAGCTCGAAAGAAACCGAGATGGCGATGGTGGTCGGACCAAATGGAAAGGATTATCGGTGGCGATTCTTGTCAAGCTCGCTGTTTGTCTGGAAAATCAAATTTTTAGCTGAGAGTGTATCCAAGTAGTTGCTGGAAAAGTCTAGAGCTTGAGGAAGAAGAAAAAGAGCATCACGTAGCGGGCAATAGCCGTAACGCGCTAAAACTCGTGTAGGAAAATCTTTTATTTGGGGCCAATCCAGGAAAGTAGCACCTGAGAGAGACATATAAAGGTAGGGTTTAAAATTCCACAAGAGAGAGAAGAAAAAAAGAGAGGCTTACTTTTGAGCGTGTTCTTGTGGACTTGTTCCTTGTTCTACAGGTTTTGCTCGATCGATCGATCCATGGGAAAGAGGAGAGTGGAGATCAACATCATCTCCGCCGAGGGCCTCAAGCTCTCGCCGAGCTTCGGTAAGCCTCACACCTACGCAGTGGTATGGATCCATCCCTCCAAGAAGTTCTACACCCACGTCGACCAAGAGGGCGCCAAGAACCCCGTCTGGAACCAGAAGCTCGTCATCAGCGCCGACACCTACTCGCTGGAGCAAGGCTCGGGCAAATTCACCATCGAGATCTTCCACCGCGGCCACATCCACGACAAGCCCATCGG